CCTCATTTCACAGTGATGGGAGAAGGGGCAGAGACGCCGTCCTGCGGGCCGGGCTGGGCTGGGCAGCGCCCCTCAGACCTCCAGCTTCTTCTTCATCTCCATGCGGTAAATGATCTGGTAGCCATCATCCCAGGCGTAGATCTGCCTCTCGCGGGGGCTGTACTTGAGGCTGGCGTGGGAGCCGTAGCGCTTGGGGAAATAGACCAGGGAGGCGTCCTCGGGGGCCAGGGTGCCGCTGACGTCGAAGACGCACTGGACGCGGGCGCGGCTGGGCAGGCGCGTGTTGTACACCACGTGCAGCGCCCCGCACACCACGAAGGCGCCCTCGGCGTTCTCCCGCGGGCACGGCGTGTCCCACATCTGCTCGATGTCCAGCGAGGCGGGGTCCAGCTTGGCAAGGCACATGTTCTTCTCGTCCTCCTTAGTGGCGTAGATGGCCCAGAGCCCCTCCTCGTCCGCCGACACCTCGATGTAGGTGGAGGGGGAGAGGCCGAAGACGGGGATCTGCTCCTCGGCCGGGAACACTGAGCTGTCCACCACCGTCTTGTTGGCCAGGTTGAACTTGATCACCTGGAAGGACAGGCCCTGCTGGCGGATGTAGAAGAGGTGCCCGTCGTAGACGAGGTGCCCAGTGCCCACCCAGGGGTAGGGCAGCTTGATGCGGGCGGCCTTGCGGGTGGCAGAGAAGAGGGTGAACTCCCGCATGCGGGGGAAGACGTAAACCGTGTCGTTGGCGGTGCCGTCGAACACGTAGATCTTCTCCGAGCTCCCCGCAGCGTCCTTGGTCCAGAGCCCCGAGGCGCTGCCGAAACGCTTCAGGATCTTCATGGCCCTGACACTGGCGATGGTGTCACTGCAATCTGTGAGAGAGGGGCGGCTGAGAACCCTGGAACAGCCCGGCCCTGCAGCACGGCTGCTGCTGCCCCGTGCTGGGTTCTCACCCTGTCCCACCCTGCTCCTCCAGCAACTGCCTTGGAAATTCACTGAAGGGGTTTAAGTGCATCCCTGGTGGCATTGAGAAGTCCCCTAGTGTACCCATGCCATGGGCACGGGAGACACCCTCACCCCAGCCCTGCCCCAGAGGCTTTGGGGACGCACAGGGCTCCAGCCTGGGGCTTGGCTGCAGCTCCCAAGCCAGGGGGATGCAGGAGCTTGTGCCAGAGACATCTGAGATGCCCTGCTGGGACACAATGCCCCAGCTCATGGCTGGGGAACACCTGGACTGAGGTGGGCTACAAAGGGTTGGGGTAACCCTCAGACCCCAGGGAGCCACAGCAGCGCCTCACCTGTGAGCTTGGTGTACTTCTCGTTCTTCCTCTGCTTGGCTGTGGCCACCTGCTTGTCCATCAGCGTCTCATCCACCTCCACGCAGGGTGGGGCAGGGTTCTGTGTCTCCAGGTAGTCCACCTCCCGCTCCAGCCGCTCCACGCGCACGGCCGCGCTCTCGGCCTCCGCCCGCATCGCCTCCCGCTCCTTCTCGGCCGCCTCCAGCATCCCCAGCACCTGGTTCTTGAAGTCCCGCAGCTCCGTGGAGTAGCGGCTGCTCTGGTCGTGCCACTGTGAGATCCTCTCCTGGGGCGGCCAAGGGGACACTGAGGTCTCCAAACCTTCCAGCCCACCAGTGGCAGCTGTCCCAGCCTGCCCGGGCTGGGGGAGCCCCCAGAGCCACACGTGGCTCGTGGCTCTGGGTCACGTCCCACCCTGTTCCCGTTCCTGTGGTGCTCCCAAACTCACGATGCTCCCGTGCTGCTTCCGCAAGGTTCCCAGACCTATGACGCCCATTCCTGCAATGCTCCCATGACGTTCCCAGACCCACAATGCCCCCATTCCCGTGCTGTCCCCAGAGCCGCACGGCCCTGCTCTCCTGTCACACCCCCAGGATACCCCCATGATGTTCCTGAACTCACAGTGCACCCCAGTCTCCCACGCTGCTCCCAGATCCTTGATGTCCTCATTGCTGTGATGACCCTGTGAAGTTCCCAGACCCGCAGTGCCCCTGCTTTCCCATGATATTCCCATTCCTGTGATGTCCCCGTGCTTCTCCCAGACCCGCAATGCCCCTGCTTTCCCATGATGTTCCCAGACCTGTGATGTTCCCATTCCTGTGACGTCCCTGTGGCTCTGATGTTCCCATTCCTGTGATGTCCCCATAGTTCTCTGACCTGCAATGCCCCTTCTCCTGTGATGTTCCCATTCCTGTGATGCCCCCGTGGTTCTGATGTTGCCATTCCTGTGATGTCCCCATAGTTCTCTGACCTGCAATGCCCCTTGTCCTGTGATGTTCCCATTCCTGTGATGCCCCCGTGGTTCTGATGTTGCCATTCCTGTGATGTCCCCATAGTTCTCAAACTTGCAATGCCCCTTTTCCTGTGATGTTCCTATTCCTGTGATGTTCCCATTCCTGTGATGTTCCCATTCCTGTGATGCCCCCATGGTTCTCCCAGACCCGCAATGCCCCTGCTCCCACGATCTGCCTGTCCCCCGGTGCTCCCACACCCATCTTGCTCTGGTGTATCCTCCTGCTGGGCTGTGCAGGACCCCGGCAGGGGCTGCCAGGGCACCCCACACCCTGCTCCGTCCCCATCCCTGCTCCTCCTCACAGGGCACCCCACACCCTGCTCCGTCCCCATCCCAGCTCCTCCTCACAGGGCACCCCACACCCTGCTCCGTCCCCATCCCTGCTCCTCCTCACAGGACACCCCACACCCTGCTCCGTCCCCATCCCAGCTCCTCCTCACAGGGCACCCCACACCCTGCTCCATCCCAGCTCCTCCTCACAGGACACCCCACACCCTGCTCCGTCCCCATCCCAGCTCCTCCTCACAGGACACCCCACACCCTGCTCCATCCCCATCCCAGCTCCTCTGACCCAGCCCCGCTCCCAGCCCCATGGGGAAGGTTTGGGAGCCCCGTGACGGGGCGATCCGGGGTGCGGGGCGGCTGTGGGGTCCCTCTCGGGGCTGTACCTCCAGGAGGGTGATTCGGCGCTCCACGTACTCCATGAACTGCTGCTGCTGGGCGCGCAGGGCCGGGGCGAGCAGCGGCAGCAGCAGCAGGCAGCGCCAGGGCCCCATGGCCGGCAGCAGAGCAGCCTCCAGCTCAGTGCTCAGGAATGCTCCGGCCTCCCCAGCCTTATTGCATCCAGATGTGCAGCGAGGGGAGGCTGCTCCTTCCCCGCAGACCGGCCCCGGGCGCTTTAACCCCTTCGTGCCCCACCCGAGCCGCGGGGATGGGGCGGGAGATGGGGACGGGCTGCTGGCAGGAGTTTGGGGTGCAGGGAGCGCCGCAGGAGCCCCGAGCGACAGGACACGTCCTCAGGAGCCGTAGTGTGGGGACAGCGAGGGGACAGCGAGGGGACAGCCCTGGCTCTCTGTCCGCAGAGGTGCCCAAAGCCAGCGGCCAACCTGAGCCTCGGCCATGTCCAGGTCTGGGGACAGGGATGTTCCTGGGGACAGGGACAGTGCCAGCCCAGAGGGTTTGTGCCCTGGTCAGGGACAGTGCCAGCACAGTGGGTTTGTCCCCTGGGCAGGGACAGTGCCAGCCCAGCGGGTTTGTCCCCTGGGCAGGGATAGGAACAGGGACAGTGCCAGCACAGCGTGTTTGTCCCCTGGGCAGGGATAGGGACAGTGCCAGCCGGTTTGTCCCCTGGGCAGGGACAGTGCTAGCCCAGCGGGTTTGTGCCCTAGGGACAGGGACAGTGCCAGCCCAGCCAGTTTGTGCCCTGGGGACAGGGACAGTGCCAGCACAGGGGGTTTGTCCCCTGGGCAGGGACAGTGCCAGCACAGTGGGTTGGGTTTGTCCCCTGGGCAGGGACAGTGCCAGCACAGTGGGTTTGTCCCCTGGGGACAGGGACAGTGCCAGCACAGGGCAGCCAGCAGGAGGGACGGGGATGCTACCCCGGGCTGTGTTTCAGCTATAAAGGAGGGTATTTACGGCCGCAGGGATCGGGCAGACGGGACCAGATGTCACCGGGCAGGCACTTCACGGTGCCCGGCAGCCCCGGGATCCTGCGGGCACCCTCGGCACAGGTGAACACCACCCTGGATCCCACCGGGAAGCTGCTGGAGCTGCTGGAGGGCCTGGAGTGGGTCATGGCAGGAGGGGCCCGCAGTCACCTGGGGCAGGAGAACACCTCCTCAGGTGAGGAGCCCCTTCCCTGCCCCAGGAGCGGGGCTGGGATGGCTCAGCCAGGGCTGGGTCTGTGACAGCACTGACCCCAGGCTCGGGGGTGGCATCCCCCAGCCCAGCCCCCGAGCTGGGATCCAGGCAGGTGTCCCTGGTCCTGCCCACGGCCCCGTACCCACCGTGAGGCACAGGAATGCTGAGGAGCCCCAGCACGGCCAGGAGCAGCACGGGGTGGCCAGAGGCTGCCCCACAGCCTGGGGGGCCAGGGTTCCCCCCCATCCTGGTGCTCCAGCCTTCATTGCAGCAAGAGCTGTGCCCCTCCAGGGCTGGGAGGGGATGCACTGCAGGCTCCTCCAAGCCTCTGGAGCTGTGGAAACCTTCCCAGGACACCCACGGAGCTGAAATCTCCGTCAGGAACACGGCAAGCAGCCAGGGTGGGGACAACTGTCACTCGCAGGCTTGGGAAGAGCCTCCTGGTCCTCCTGCCCCAACCTCCTTATTTGCGTTGTTTTGTTCTTATTTTGTGCTGAGGCTGTCAGTGAGGACTGATCAACAATTATTCTTAGCATTTGCCCACCAAAAATTGGGATGTGGAAGATGACACCAGTTCAGATATATGGCATGGCCAGGAACCTGTTTGAACGCAGGTTTACAATACACGTCTTGTGAGCTGCCCTTACCCAGACAAACAGAAATCAGGAGCTGGATGAACAGAAATCAGGTTTAACACTTTTTGCCACCACTGTTCAGGTGCAAATGTACCCAGGCCTCAGCTGGACTGTGGCAGCAGAATCAACTTCAGAGCCAACTCTGGACTCATCTCAGCTTTTCTGGACTTCACTCCCTTTTTCCTCAGCTTACCACAGTTAAGACAGTGATTTTAAAAAGCTAAATTTAATCTCTTTTTAGTCTTCCTAATATGAAACATGAAACAACTTATTAATAAAAGAGCAAATCAAGCTTGTAGGTTAGAGCAAAACCCACTCCCTGCTCTGGCATCCAGCACAAAAAGCAGCCTCCCATGCACTGATGATTATTTTTCTGGCTCTAGGTATGCAAAATAAAAAGCCACAAAATCACAAAGAACCTTCTCAGAGATGCTGTGACTGCACAAACTGTGAGTTCACCAAAGGAAAGGTGAACTTTTACAGGGATCCAATTTCATTTTAGTTTTCTAGCTCCATCTCTAGTTTGTTAATCTCCAGGAGCAGTTTCTGTATTTCCAGCAGAATTTTCACTTCTTCTACAGGCACACCACATTCAAAGGTCGATTTAATGTAATGAACCTCTTGACACACATCACCATCACCTTCTTTCATCTGTTAAACAGGAAAACAAACCCCAGAAAAGCCTGTAAGCATGGACTGCAGCACAGGCAGAGCCACCCACTGCTCAGCTGCGAGGGGGCTCTGTCCCAGCAGTGGCTGCATCCTCCTCAGAACCAGAAATTAAAAGCTTTGGAGAAATTTAAGCAGTTTTCATGTTAGAAATCAGGCAGCACCCACCCAGGGACCCAGCCAGGCTCAGCAACCTGAGGCTCTGAGCACCTGGGAAGGTTGAACCATGGCAGGGTGGAACTGGATGGTTTTTAGGGCTCCCCACAACCCAAACCATTCTAAAATGTTGTGGTACTCACACACTTGGGCAGTGTTGTCCAGCTGCCATCAGGCAAGCAGGTGGCTGTCCAAGCATTTTCCATTTCCATCACTTCATTGTTTGGAAGCTCGTAGCCAGGAAGGCACTCCAGGGTGACAGTCTCGTTGGCCTGGTACCACCCTCTGCCACCCAAAGGGCTTTTCAGCCTTCCAAAGGGCACTCGGGGCTGTGGACACAGGACTGAAAGGAAAGCCCAGGGCTCAGCCAGAGGTCAGAAAGGAGTTTGGGAAGGCTGAGCCAGTGCAGAGGAACTTAAAATTGTAGAGCTGTGAAATCAAAAATACTTCTCTCCAAGAACAGGGTGAGGGTCAGAGCAGCCCCTGCGAGGTGCTGTGAGTTCCTGATGGATTTGTTGTTTCTGGCAGTGTCTGCCCACGGTGGGGGTGGACATTTGGCAATAAGGGAAGGGAAAGTCAGTGAACTCCTGGCCTGTCTTAGACCTTACACACAGTTGTCAATAAAAAAATCAACTATTACCTGGAAAACACCAGCTTTGGGAAGGTTGTTTCTTCTGCAAAGAGGGGAAGGACTCAGGAACCCCAGGGACAGACAGAGCCAAGCAACGCTGCACCCCAAGCCCTCTGCTCTGCCCCAGGGGCCATGAGCTGAGCAGGGAGATTTTGGAACCACTCCTCATCACATTTGCAGTAGAAGGGCAGAGTTTATTCACCCCCTACCACAGCTTGTTAGTGAATCCCTACATCCTCCTGCCGTAGGGGTTTGGGACACTGAACTGAAAGGAAAGTGCACATTGAAAATCAAGGAACAGGAGGTGGAGGAGAAAATGCTCACTCACCTGGCTGGCAGGTGGGCAGGGGCGGGTGCCAGGCGCCATCAGCCAGGCACTGGCTCTGGGCAGCGCCATGCAGCCTGAAGCCTTGGTCACAGGAGAAGTGCAGGAGCAGCCCGTAGGGAAAGGTGAAGGTCTGTGGGGTCATCCTCCCCCTCTCCACCACGGGCCTGGGGCACCGAACCACTGCGGGACAGAGCAGAGCTGGCACTGGGGTCTGGGGGCAGCAGAACCCGGGCAGGGCTGCTCCTCCCCACCCCCTGACGGCCCCAGCCAGGAACCAGGGTCCTCCCATGGTCGAATCACCATCTCTGGATGTGTTTAAAAAAAGACAGGACATGGCACTTGGTGCTATAGTCTAGTTGAGGCATTAGGGCATAGGTTGGACTTGATGATCTTAGAGGGCTCTTCCAACCTCATTATTCTGGGATTCTGGCACTCCCAGATGGATCATCCCCCCTCCTGTGGAGGAAGCAGCATCTGCAGGCAGCCCTGCTGGCTTTAACCCCACTGTTCTGAGCGCTGACACTGCCCCCAGGCCCGGCTCAGCCTGACCCATGCCCTGAGCCCACTGTCTGACCCCAAAGCACTCACCCCTGCACTCCGGGGCAGGCCCGCTCCAGGTCAGGTTCTCCCCATCCTCGGAGGTGCAGTGCAGGGACTCGTCCCCGATGAGGGACAGCCCCTCTGCACAGCTGTACTTCACTTCAGAGCCATAGGGGAACCTTGTAAACCCCATGCCAGAGTGCTGCCCGTTGGTGATTTTGGGAGGGGGGCCACAGACTGTGTGAGAGTAAAGGGAACAGTCAGGTTTTCCTCATTCCATTAGGGAGGCAGAAGGCAGGGAGGTAACAGGAGAGGCTGATTCTCTGTGTTCATGCTAAATGTTGCTATCCTCACACTCCTCCCTGCCTCTGGCCAGCTTTGGCCGTGGCTGTACCAGTGCTCCCAGTCTGACCCAGCTGATGAACCCACCCTCAGCACAGCCCCAGCACTGCAGCATGTGCCCCCTCCCCTTCAGCCCCTTCCCCTTCCTTACCCCCTCCCCTTTTCCACGAGGAATGATCCTGCTCCTGGGCAAGGCCAGGGAATGGTGAATATCATAAATCCCCTGAAGAATCCTTTCAGAATTGGCTGCAAGTCCCAGTAACCAACACATTTCACCAATCCCAGTTTTGGTTGAAGATGGAAATACCTTCAGTGCTGTGGCTTGAGCACTTTCTCCTCACACCTCACACGGTTTTTCCCTGCTGTCCCTCCCCACGGATGGAATATCCCCACTCACCCCTGTCACAGTAGGGCACGGGGGGTCTCCACATCCCGTCAGAGGAGCACTGGACCCTGTCGCTGCCCCGGAGCATGTAGCCGTGGTCACACTGGAACTCCACCTGTGTCCCAAAGGTGTACTCGGCTCTCCTGGGGCTGGCCTCTGTCCCGTGGGGGATGACCGGGCTGGAGCACTGCACCCCTGGGGGACAGCAGCAGCAGAGAGGAGAGGTTTGCACAGGGGGATCCCCAGCAGCGCTGCTGTCCCACCCAGCCGAGCTGCCAGACACCTCCGAGCAGAGCTGGCAGGCTCAGGGATGCCAAGGGCAGGATAACAACCGCTCCTCTTGGCGGGCACAAGGATGCCAGAGCCCTGTGCCCAGCTGGAAATCGCGCTGGGGGGATGGCTCCTCACCGGCTGCATCCCTGAATCCTTGCTGGAATAACCAGGGGGAGCTGCGGCTTTTCCTATCCAGGCACGCCGCCTTTTGAGCGGCGGAATTATTGCCGGGGAGAGCCGGAGCTGCTGGGAAAGGCCCGCTGGGGCCAGGGGTGCACTCACTCTGGCACAGCCTCGGCACCGGGGACCACGAGAAGTTCTGAAGGCAGGTGATGGTTGGGGACACTCCGGGGATCAGGGAGAAGCCGGTTCTGCAGGAGTAGGACAGCGTGCTCCCAACCAGGAACTCCCGCCGGTGCTGGAACTCGGCGAACTCCACAGAGGGAGGGTGGCGACACTGCCCTGGGGACAGCAGGGACAGCACAGAGCCTCAGCACTGCCCTGGGGACAGCAGGGACAGCACAGAGCCTCAGCACTGCCCTGGGGACAGCACAGAGCATTAGCACTGCCCTGGGGACAGCAGGGACAGCACACAGCCTCAGCACTGCCTTGGGGACAGCAGGGACAGCACACAGCCTCAGCATTGCCCTGGGGACAGCAGGGGACACAGATCAGGGACAGCACAGAGCCTCAGCACTGCCCTGGGGACAGCAGGGACAGCGCAGAGCATCAGCACTGCCCTGGGGACAGCAAGGGACACAGACCAGTGACAGCACAGAGCCTCAGCACTGGGAGCTTTGCCTTGGTGGAAAATCCCAAAAAGAAGCGAGGGACAGCAGCACCCCTGAGCTTGGCTGTGGGATGAAGAGAAAGGGGAAAACAGTGGGGAAAATTCACCAGAGAATGTGAACTGAGTGAGAATCTTCATTCTTGTGCGCTTTGGTACCTCGTGGGTGTCCCCCGCAGGAAGGGACAGCCCTGCCACCCTCCGCTGGCGATCCCAGAGGGAATGCAGCAGCGCTCCTGGTGATGCCCACCCTCCAGCTGCCCTCCAAGTGCTTTTGGGGAAATGGGAGCAGACGATTGCAGCTGGCAGAGGCCAGGAGGGGGATGTGGGCTCACCTGGGACGCAGGAGGGCACCCGTGGGTACCACCTGCCGCTGGACGTGCAGCGCACCGTGCTGGCGGTGGGCACGAAGCCGGGGTCGCACTGCAGCGTGGCGGTGCTGCCCTGGGTGAAGTTCTCTGCAGAGCTCAGCTGCCCGTTTGCAATGGAAGGGATGGGACACTGAGCCTCTGAGGATCACCAAAAAAAAACAAAAAAGGGGATTTTCAGGGGTGTTCTTGCATAATGCCACCACTTTAACCAAGGGTCACGGCAGCTCTGTCTGGGGGGGAGAGGAGACGTCACCGCTGAGGCAGGAACAGAAGTGAAGGCGACACAAACTCTAAAACTCTCTTCAGCAGCCTAATAACAAGTTGATTAGAAACCCATTCCTTTTTATACACTGCTCTGATAAAGGTGGACCTGATTGGTCATTTAATCAATGCACCATCACCAGTGGCTAATTAAGAAGACACTAAGGTCACCAAGACAGAATTAAAAACATGTCAGAATATCCTGATCCACATCCAGGTGCTGCAGCATCCCACACCTGCACCGTGCCAGGGCAGTGCCACCCATGCTGCCTTTGGTGCCATTCCCACGGAAAGTATCTTGGAAAATATCTTGTTTGTGCCTCCTCCACATTAATTATTGGCACCTCATTAGCAATGTTTGGCTTTGGGAAATGGGCTGAGAAGCGTCAGGAAGTAAAAGCAATAAATATTAAGAATAAAAGCAGTGTGCACAGGCAGTGCTGGTGCAGGGCTGTGCACCCTGGAGAAGTTTCTGGAAAGGTTTGGGTTTAACCGAACCCCCAACTTCCAGACAGAAACTGCTGCTTATTCCCCTTCCCAGAGACATTCAGTGCTCAGCAGATTTGCACTTCTCCAGTTCTGAAGTCAGCCTGGGGGATGCCTGGCCATGCCCCAGCTGCCTTGGGCAGCTCTGGAGGCATCACAGGATCAGCCAGAGAATCGGGGAAGGGACATTATGGACGGGACATTAAAGTTGGAATGGAAGGGGCATAAAAGCTGGAATGGAAGGGACATAAAAGTTGGAATGGAAGGGGTGTAAAAGTTGGAATGGAAGGGTCATTAAACCCCATCCTGGGCAGGGACACCTCCCACTGTCCCAGGCTGCTCCCAGCCCATCCAGCCTGGCCTTGGACACTCCCAGGGATCCAGGGGCAGCCCCAGCTGCTCTGGGCACCCTGTGCCAGGGCCTGCCCACCCTCACAGGGAACAATTCCTTCCTAACACACAATCTTACCCTGCCTTTATTCACCCTAAACCCATTCCCCTTTCCCTGTCAGGCCATTCCTGGTGAAAAGCCCCTCTCCAGCCTTCCTGGAGCCGCCTCAGGCACTGCAAGGCTCCATCAGCTCTTCCCAAAGGCCCCGAGAAAGGAAAGCAGAGCCCCAGAAGCCGAGAGCCCGAGCAGGGAGGGGAGGACACTCACCCTGAGTGCCCGTGGGCTGCAGGGCCAGAACCGTCAGTGCCAGGAGCTGGCCTGGCCCGAGGAGCCCGGGCATGGCGTGGGATAAAAGCTGCCCTGGGAAGGAGAGATCCGAGATCCTCTGCCCTGAGAGCCCAGCAGGGAAGGGGAAGCAGCAGTGGGAAGTTGGGGACAGGCCAGACACGCCACTGACACCACCCCCAGCCCTGGGATGTGCAGGGCAGGGGAGGCTGCTCTGGGCACAGAGGGAATTGCCAAAGCCCACCATAGGTCGGGGTGGCTCCGTGTGGTGGAAAAACTTCTCCTCCAGCCTGTGCTGCCAAAGAAAGGCTCAGCAGTCTCTGTTGTTCGGTCTCAAGGCAGTTTATTTCAAGTTATCTAAAAGATTTTCTTCTGGGGCTGCTGTGGTTTGCTCACAGCTCAGGCAGAGGCACACACACACCCTGACATCCTCTCTGACTCCCGACTGCTTCTTCTCCCCCCCTCTGCCCAGGGCTGCTGCTGTCTTTTATATGGTACATTACGTGTTACATGGGGACAGTTTTTCCCCAATGCCTATTACCTATATTAAATGGTGCTTTTCTACTCTAAACCAATCTGTGAGTGCCAACATCACCAAGAACATGGAGGGAAGGAAGAAGGAAGAGGGAGGACAGGGCAGGCCCAAATCCCTCCATCTTAAACCCTCTGACCCCATGTACAAAACCAAAACCCCCCTGTACAGCACTCAAAAATTCTTCCCTCTACTTTGCAAGTACTTCTACTCCAATATCTAAACTTTTGTGACTTCTTGTTCTTCCTGCAAGGTTGGTAAATCATTCCATGGTTCAAACCCAAAATCACAGCTGTTTCCAGCTGCCTGCCAGGGTCTCAAATGCTTCTGACCTGGGCCCGGAACCTCCAAAAATGTCTGAGGGACATTTTGAGTTCTGACAGGGAATGAAGGTGTTTTACAGCTGAAACTGCTCTGCAGCAGCCTGGCCTCGGGTCTGAAGCAGGTTTACACCCAGGGCAGGTGGGGTGGGGGAAACATCCCCCACATCCCTGCACTCATGGAACAGCACCTGAGCTGTTTATTTACATACACTCTAAATAAACTTATTTATTATATATATTTTATATATTATCTGTACATCATATGTATTACAGAAATAATTCCCTTTACCAGAGATAGGACAAATTATTAAAACCCAGACAGAGCTGTCAGTACAATTTCAGGTTTATTTTAATCTCTGGTCCCACCACAAGACAAGTGGCCCTCACAACGCTTCCCCTTCACTGGATGTTGCAGAAAAAAGTTTCAAAACCATTCATTTCTTTCTGTATACTGTTATTTGTCTGTCCTTGGGGCACACACAGAGATGTGGCACTTCCATCCTGCTTGGGAAGAATACCTGGCATTTTTGCTTTTCTAGGACAGAAGCTTTGAGGTTTTCTTGGTCATGAGACTAGGCAGTGAAGGGGTTGCTCCCACTAATGAGTGCAGCGTGGGTGAACTGGGCAGCACTGGGATGGACTGGAGAGGTGCAGCAGCTGTCACCATGTTCATGCCTGTTTCTACCACCAAAATTCACTTTCCACTCAGTTCCTTCCTAACTGTGCACTGCCAGTGTAGCAAACAGATATAAATGTGAAGCTTAAAAGGTGTAAAGTGATGTACAAACTGAACCTGGTGAGCTCTAAAACTGACCCACGAGTCATTGACTCACAAGTCATTGGCTCCTCACACGACCAAATCTGTGGCCGATTGTTAAATTTTGTCCTGGCTACCTCAGCATTAGCACAAACTACAGAGTCATAAAAATCCTCAGTCAGTGCCATGATCCAACACACAGAGGATGGTTCCTGCAATCCCAGTGTCACCAGTCAGCTGTAGGTGGTGATTTTTAGCTCCTTTTCAAGTTTCTGGATCTCCAGGAGGAGCTTCTGGACTTCCAGCTGGGTTTTCAGATCTGACAGAGGAATTCCACACCGGAAAGCTGCTTTGTTTCGAAGAACCCTCTCACACACATCACTCTTCCTCTTCAAAAGAACAAAAACAGAGGCAGAGTGAGACTCCAGTGTGGGGTGACAAAGCCACTGTCCTTGTGAAGCTGGACCAAAGCTATTCCAGGCTATAAATGGGGCAAGAAACAGGAGAAACGGGGCAGCTGGTGGTACTTACACACGTGGGGGGTGGTGTCCAGGTGCCATCAGCTGAGCAAGTGGTTTTGGAAAGTGCCCCATTGCGCCCACCACTTTTGCAGGAGAAGGTCACCGTGGCATTCACCTCGTACCACAGCTGGTTGAAGTCAACCACAACATCGTCCCGCCTTGGGAGACTGGGGCACTGAACTGAGGGGGAAACACACACAAAACATCCCATAATGGGAGGAGATGCAGGAGAAAACACCCTGCAAAGTCCCCCTGCGGCCCAGCAGAGCAGCCCCCGGGCCATGCAGGGCAGGGCTGGCACTCACCTGGCTGGCAGGTGGGCAGGGGCGGGTGCCAGGCGCCATCAGCCAGGCACTGGCTCTGGGCAGCGCCATGCAGCCTGAAGCCTTGGTCACAGGAGAAGTGCAGGAGCAGCCCGTAGGGAAAGGTGAAGGTCTGTGGGGTCATTCTCCCCCTCTCCACCACGGGCCTGGGGCACCGAACCACTGCGGGACAGAGCAGAGCTGGCACGGGGGTCTGGGGGCAGCAGAACCCGGGCAGGGCTGCTCCTCCCCACCCCCTGACGGCCCCAGCCAGGAGCACCAGGGTCCTCCCATGCTCGAATCACCATCTCTGGATGTGTTTAAAAAGACTGGACATGGCACTTGGTGCTATAGTCTAGTTGAGGCATTAGGGCATAGGTTGGACTTGATGATCTTAGAGGTCTCTTCCAACCTCATTATTCTGGGATTCTGTCACTCCCAGATGGATCATCCCCTGTCGGAATCTGAGGTATTGATGATTCTGAGACTGTAGGAAGTCTCTGTCTTTCAGCCCCGCTGCCAAAGCAGAAGCCATAATTTGTCTGTGCTGGTTTCAAGGTTGTTTATTCTGTTTATCTCTAACATGTTCTGCTGCCCTGCCGCAGCTCTGTCCTGCAGGGCAGCGTGTGGGGCTCTGCCCTCAGTGGGATGGTACAAACATTAAATACCAGAAACTACCTGTGCTGGATTTACAATAACGTGCCAATATCTGTCACCTACGTTGGACAGTGTGTCCCCAGCCTGAACCAACAGAAAAATGCCAACACCACAGTGAAACATGGAGGGCATGAAGAAGGAGAAAAAGGACAAGGCACACCCAATTTCCTCCATCTTGTCCCCTTTGGACCCCTAATCTAGAATCCTAAAATTTTACTTTTGCACCTGTGCCACACTTAATTATTACTTATATCAAACACTCAGAGCTTGTAATTCATCCTGTAAGATTGAAAACTCTTTTCCATGGCCAGAGATCACAGCCAGTGTCTCTGGGGGCTCTGTCCAGGGGGGTTCCTGACCCCTGCCAGGGTCCCAGAGCTGCCAGGGCATCCAGAGGGAAGCTCTGGATTCCCACAATCCCCCCTCCTGTGGAGGAAGCAGCATCTGCAGGCAGCCCTGCTGGCTTTAACCCCACTGTTCTGAGTGCTGACACTGCCCCCAGGCCCGGCTCAGCCTGACCCCATGCCCTGAGCCCACTGTCTGACCCCAAAGCACTCACCCCTGCACTCCGGGGCAGGCCCGCTCCAGGTCAGGTTCTCCCCATCCTCGGAGGTGCAGTGCAGGGACTCGTCCCCAATGAGGGACAGCCCCTCTGCACAGCTGTAGGTCACCTTGGTGCCATAGGGGAACCCTGTGGCACCTCTGCCAGAGTGCTGCCCAAAGGGGATTTGGGGAGGGGGCCCACAGACTGTGGAATAAAGGGAATTAAGAAAGAAAGACACGTGCAGTTAGCATCTTCAGGTGAGAATCCAAAGCATTTCTTTGAAATCAGCACAAAGCTCATTTCATGGTTGGTGTGAGGCAAATTCACAAGAAGCTGCTGCCTGGATTCTGGCCTCTTATAGCAGCTCAGGGCTCCAGAAATACCAGGATATTTCCAGTCGTGGCCTCCCCACTCCTGAAAGTGTCCAAGAAACACTGGGGGCCACGATGGGATTCAGTCAAAGCCTGGACCTGGTGATGCTGGAGGTATTTTCCAACCTTTATGATTCTAGTTCCAGCTCTGGGGAGGGGACACCTGGCTCAGCAGGTGCTGCAGGCAGATCACCCAGTGGTGGCAGGAGATCTCTTGTCCCCTGTGTGTCACACGTACCTTTGTCACAGAAGGGCATCACAGGCTCCCAGCTCAGATCAGCCCCACAGGTGATGGTCTCCAAGCCCCTGAGGGCAAAACCTTCCTCACAGGCCAGTCTCACCCGTGTCCCCACTGTGTAGCCACTCCTGCTTTTATAAACCTCTTTTCCATGAAGGATGCTTGGCTTTGGGCAATGTGGTTCTAGAAATAATGGGAAATAAAGGATGTTGTGTGTTTCCAAAAAGAACTCCAGTCATGTTTTCTATGGAGAAGAGCCACCAACAAATCTGCACCGTGGCAGAAAAGTGACCATCCCCCAGGTGCAGGTCTCAGGCTGCCTCTGTAACCCTGAGGGGTCAGCACAGGGAACTGTCCATGCTCTAATGCTGCCTGCCCTGGGAGGTGCAGCAGGTTTGTCCCTCCTGGCAACATTTTCCTGAGTTTTTGTGGATATTGCTGTGGTGGGTCAGGAGCTGGGGCAGTGTCAGTTATTTACTCATTTTCTCCTGACAGGGGAAATGCCTTGGGAGCATCTTCTGCTCCCCAGCCTCATGTCAGCAAAGCAGCCCCAAACACAAACCACATCCCCTTCCAGCTGGGTAAATGTCTCCCAGGGTTCCTCAGGAACCTCCCAGCCTCTAGAAGCTTCCAACACACCCCCTTGCACCCCACCAGACACCTGCTCAGCCCTGCCAAACCCCTGCCCTTTTTCCATGGGGCCCATCTGGGACTTTTGCTGCCAAGTTAACCCAGGAGAAGCAGATCTGGGGCAACCTGGAGTGGGGGAAAGTTCTCCATGGCTTCTGCCATTGTTGCCCTGATTTTTAAGTGTTAAGTTTCCTTTTATAGTTCTTTTGAAAGTTTTAAAATTCTCATAAAACTTCTTTAGCTTTCTGATAACGCTTACATATTTGAGAGTTAGGAGTTCTTACACAATTTCATGTATAACTAGAATCGTTTACCTATTTCTCTGTGGGTGGAGAGAAATGATTGATTGATCTTTGGACCAGTGTGGCTGGAGAAGTGGTAATTCCATCCTCCAATCCATGGTCACTTTTGGAATTTTATAAATAGTAGATGTTTGAATAAAACTCTCTCTTTTTTTTTTCTATTTTGTACTTTAAAAAAACCCACAAAAAAACCCCCAACCCCCCCCCCAAAAAAAAAAACCCCAAAAAACCCAAACAAAACCCAAAAAACTATAAAAGAAAACAATACTTTTAAAAATCAGAACATCATGCCATGATCATCCCTCCACTCTGTCCCACCTGGGATGCACTCTGGCACTGCTGGATCCCATCCACCATCGTTGCCACAGCGAAGGGTGATGCTGCTGCCACTGCCGTGGCCTTTGAAAGCAAATCCTTCACTGCACTCCACCTCCAGCCTGTCCCCACTCTCATAAACCTCCTTCACTTGCCATGGGTGCAAGGGCTTCCCATTTGGGATGTCTGGATCTGGGCAAGGAATTCCTGGAAAATGCCAAACATCAGCGAGAGTGAAACCACGGCAAAGCCAGCGGGTGAGAGGAAATTTGTTGTGAAGACAGGGATGGATGTTTTGTAGGACACAGACACATCGTGCCATGAAATCTGCCCCAAAAGCTTTCCTGTGGGGTGGAATGTTTGTGGTGCACCCTCAAGACCACAATGGACGTTTCCCAGAGGTTCAAGGGGTCGGAAAGCAGAGCTGGCAAAGAAAGCAAAGCAAACTCTGCAGCTGGGGAATAAATCAAAGGAATTCCAGGGTCAGCAAAGACCAAGCTGGGCCCTGGAGCATCTCCCTGTCCCCCAGGCTGTCCCCAGCCCACTCTGGCAGTCACAAGTGAGCCCCAGGCACTCACTTTCACACGGAGGGGGGGGTTCACTCCACACAAAATCCTGCAGGCAGCTGATGTTCCAGGTGGTTTCCCCCGCTCTGAACTGGTGGCCCTGCTGGCACTCGTAGGTGACCACGGTGCCCACAGGGAACAGATTGCCAGCCAGCCTGGTTTTCATGGCATTCCTCACATCTGGGGGGTCATCACAGCTGCCTGGGGGTGAGACAGCAGTTTAGGGACAGTGTGCATCACAGGGCCTGGCATGGAGGGAATTTGGGTGAAAACCACGGGCTCACAGTGTTCATTCTGAGATGTATTGAATCATCCAGGTTCAGGAAGGGTAAAGAGGGAACGCAGAGGAGACAAATCAAGGCATACAAATATTTTTTTCCCCCTGGAGAGAGACTTTCACAAGAGCATGGGGAGACAGGACAAGGGGGAAGGACTTTAAGGTGAAGGAGGTTGAGTTTAGATCAGATATTGGGAAGAAATTCTTTCTTATGAGGGTGATGCCCAGAGAAGCGGCCCCAAGCCTGGAAGTGTCCAAGGAGAAGCTGAACAGGTCTTGGAGCAACCTGGGCCAGTGAAAGGTGTCCCTGGCCATGGCAGGAGGTGGGTGGGATGGGTTTAAGGTCTCTCCCACCCCAAACCATGCCAGGACTATGATTTTGGACTGCACGGTGACCTTCACCGTTACAACAATCTGTCATTTCCAACCAAGCTGATACTCCCCAAGCAGGGGGGGTCCCGGGGGCTGCTGTCCCTGCAGACTCACTGCGCTGGCAGAGGGGCAGGGGGGGCTCCCAGAGGCCGCTGTCCCTGCAGCTGGAGGCCCCGCTGCCGCTGAGGCTGTGGCGGAAGTCGCAGTCGAACACCACCGTGTCCCCAAAGCTGTACTCGGGCCGGTACCCGCTCAGCAGCTTCCCATTCTCCACTCTTGGTTGCTTGCAGGTTACCACTGTGCCGGGGGAAGCACACAGGGCAGCAGCAGTTAGGCTCCAGAGGGGAGGGAAGGGTTTTGGAAAAGCCCCCATCGCCTTTTGCCTCCAGGAACAGCAGCAGGGTGACGTGGTGGCTTTGTACCTCCTACAGCAGGGGTTTTAAGGTAAAGCGTAAAGAAAACTCAGGGGAGCAGGTTTGGGAATTCTTTGCAGGTGCTCGATTTCACAGCAGGTGAGAGGGATCACCTGCCCTGTGAGCACAGGAAAATCCCACTCCCACGTCCCTGCTGACACCGTGACCGTGAGGGGAGACCCCAATTCCTGTCACGGGTGCCATCTGCAAGAGGTGATTCCATTCCAGCAGGATGAAGAGGAGAGGGGGTTCCAAGGGAGGAAACAGCAGAGCAGGAGCAGGCAGCAGTGCAGGGGCTGCTGCTGGGATGTGGGAGCAGCTCACCTTTGCATTCTGGAGCTGGGCTGCTCCACACACCATTCAAGTTGTCCAAGCTTGTGCAGAAAATGGAAGCCTCTCCCACCAGGGAGAAAGGTCTCACTCCCCTCCTGGACCTGTGGCACTGGTAGGTGACAGAGTCCCCATACTCAAAATGCTCCTTGTCCATCCCACTGTGCTGCCCATTTGCTATTTCTGGAGGGGGTGCACAGGGAATCGCTGTGGAAGGAGGGGAAGATCATCATGGGAATGAGGAGAAGAGAAAAAAAAATTAATTCATTTTAAAGCAAAGATATGGCAGAAAAAGGTGGAAACAGGAGGTAGCAAAAAGGTCAGAAATCAAAGGCAGCTCTTGAGGAGCTGCACCAGCCCTGAGTTCTGGTTGGCACTGAGAGGGTTTAGAATATCCCAGGCTCAAATGCAGCTGCATCGCTCCCAGAGAGTGAATGAATATTTCTGCAGGAAGGGAAACACAGATTAAAAATGTCTTTCTAGGCTCCACCATGCACTGAGATGCCAAAATCCTCAGCAGAGCAACACAACAGGCTCTTTATCCAGCCCCAGCCACATCCCAGGTAATTAAATAGATAATTAAGGAACTCTGCTTACCTTGACAGATGGGAACATCACTGCTCCATGTAAGAACCTCATTTCTGAGCACACATTCAATCTCAGAGTGTCCAATCAGTCTGTACCTGGGTGAGACAGGGGAGAGGGAATTGCTCCACAGACTCAGTCCTGATGTGTTACCCACGTCACCACCAGCAAGGTTTGGGCTCCTTTGTCAGAATTCCAGCAGATCAGAAATTGGTCATCGGTGTCACTTTCTTGAGGACACACTGACTTTGGATAAAAACATCTTTTTAATTAAAAAAATGACACATTTCTCACAAAATGCATATACTTTATCAACTACTTACAACTCTGAGCTCAGTATTCACATCTTTCCTTCAAAAGAACACTGAAATATTGGGAATGGCTTGAAAAGAGCCAGGAGGGTGAGCCTGAGCTTGGGAAGAACTGCCTCAAAGCACATTAAGACACTCACAGTCAGTCTTAAAGCTCCCAAAGGAAAGCTTAGAAGGTATTTCAGTCAGGGTCTGCAATTACCTACATGGAGGAGGCTCTGACAGCAAAGGGGGAAAAAAACTTTGGAAAAGTGGCTGGAGAGGAAGAAGCCCTGTGGCCCAGGTGCTGCTGGCTTACCCAGTGTTGCAGGTGAAGTTCACTTTGGAACCAAAAGTGAAGACTCCAGGCAAGACCAGTCTGCCATTGGCCGGCTCCCCGGGGTAGCTGCACGCCTTGGCTGGGGACAACAGGGCTCCAGTCAGCTCCCAGCTCAGTTTCTTGGCAGGAGAGCCAAAGAGTCCCCCAGTTCTGAGCCAGGGGATGGAGCAGAGACCTCCAGATGTCCCCTCCAACCCAAGGTGATTCATGGTGCTGGCCAGACCTGCCTGGTGAGCTGCTGCCTCTGGGGTCTGCAGTGACCCGTGGCAGCGGCTCTCCCCAGCCAGAGGATTCTCCCTCTGCAGCTCAAAGGCTTTTCTAGCCACAGGGGCTCAAAGTGCCTGAGAAAAGAACATCCTTGGAGTCAGCACCAGAGGGGATTTCAGCTCCTGCCATCACTGCCAGCACCCAGAGGAACAAACCCAGTGCTTCCCTGTTGCCGCAGGTCCTCAGCTGGGTAATAATTAGCATCAACTCTGTGGTTCAGAAGGCTAGATCAATTGCTTTATTATATCTTCTTATAGCATATTATATTTCTATATTACAGTATATTACAGTAGCAAGAGCTCTCACTAACTACTAATTAACAAACCGAGACATTAATTTTGAAGAATTAAGAATTTTAGGGAAGTTAAGATGATAGTTAAATTAGATGTTGCTGAGTTAGTAGAAATAGATAAATAGGCTTTGTTCATAGTTAACAGTAGCTGTGGCAAACAGATTTCAGGGACACAAAAGCAGTTACGGATTTCCCATACTTGAGGAATCCATTGAACACAGGAAAACTACAAGGATTCATTTGTCACGTATGCATTGAAAAGTTAGAAAGGTCAGAACGAGGAAGACTTATTTTACTTCTTCATTTTGGAGACCCCCTCCCCACAAGGGACCCCCGACTCATTTCAGGAAACAAAACTATACATGCTTAATAGCCTTTTTGCCAATCAGCATACAAAGTGGAGCAGAGGAAGTGACGGGGATATGAATATGCATTAATATTTTGTGTATTCAAGACTTCTGTAAATAAAAGGGCTTTGTAATACCTGTGATTTTTGCAGTGCACATTAGGGAATTATCCCACGCGCTGCCAGGCCATCGCAATAAACATACACTTTCTAACTTTAAACTGTTAGTGAGTGTTTGTCCATCGCAGTTGGATATTGATATTATATCGATTTCATATTTTAGTAAATCAAAACAAGAAAAACTCATGACTGTCTCCTGAGAGACCTGAGACAGCTGTGCATCTGATTGGTTATTCTACACAAACACCATCACCAGAATTCAAACAAGCAACCACCTTGGGTAAACAATCTCCAGAATCCATTCCACATGAGAACAACAAGGAGCAGAGATAATAATGGTTTTGATTCTCTTCTCTGCTTTTCTCAGGAAATCCTGAGAAAGTCCGTGGCCAGAGAGCTGCTGCCACACTTCCCTTCAGGTCACTCATTGCCACCATCTGATGTTTCTCCCCTCTCAGCCCCTAAATTATCAGGCTAGCCCAGAGATCTGAGGCTTTGAGGGGAGGAATATCAGGAGATGGCAAAGATTTCCAAAAGAGGCTCTTACCCCAATATATGATGGTTCAGCTCTCTTTATTCTGTGATGTCCATGGGGAGAGTGGGGCAAAAGAGAAGGAACAGGAAATGTCAGGGGTTTATCGAGGCTTTGGACAGGGAGGGCTCCTTGGCTCTCCACCAACCCTGTCAGGGCAGGAAGGAGGGTCCAGGGTTATCTGATCAGAGCCACAGGGGTCTGGGGAAGGGGGAACATGAGCACAATATAACAACCATCCCCAGGGCTCACTTTGGATTCTGCTCCAACAGAAAGAGCTGACTGCACCAGCAACCAAAACCAAAAAGCCACAGAATGCCTTGGGTTGGGAGGAAGCCTAGAGATCAAGGGCAGGGACACCCAAACCACACTCACGTATGCAGATTTCACTGGATCCATGCCACACCCCGTTCACTCCACAGACGAGGACATTGGAAGTGTGAGCGTTTCTCCCAAAGCCCGGCCGACACACGAACGCCATCCTGTAGCCAGAGGGGAAGAGCTGGTGGCCCTCCAGCCGCTCCTTGGGCTCTGCCGACGGCGACCGTGGTGGAGCCGCGCACTGGCCTGGGGACACAGAGCCCGTGTCACGGCCACACAGCGTGACACTGGCTCCTCACAACATCAAAATGGATTTTATATGTGTGATGGCAGAGTAACTCTGTTAACAGAGTTTTTGTTTCTGTTGTTTGTGGGTCTCAGATTCAAAGAGAGAAATGGGAGTTTCTAGCCAGGCAGAAGCCTGGGAAAGAGCTGGAGAAGAATGTAAATAATTCTTTGTCTCTCTTGTTGGTCACATGGTTTATAGTTAAGTTCTGTCACTGTGCATCAAGCACTGCACACCAATGGTGTAAATTGTTTTCACTTCAGGACCGATGGAGTTGGTCCTCACAAAGCTCTGTATAAACGAGCGGGGTATTTTGAATAAACTGGAGTTTTACTCTCAGCAGCCTTCTGGTCAGAGTCTCTTCATTCCCGTCCTGCCTCGACAGCGACAGTCGTTAATTAAGCTTAGGCATGAAACGCAGAGGAAAAATCAAAACCTCACAATTCCTATGAAGATTTGTAGGTGCAGCACTATTTATTGTTTATTACAGTGCTGGGCGCATCTGAGGGATCTTTCCCTTCAAGGGACATGCATGCCCCTGAGAACTTCAGATCCTTTTTTTTTTTTTTTTTACTAATTTACATATTTATGGAATTTCACAATAGGTTCATGCATATTCATTTTTCTGATTTCATGTTACAGCTAGTTACACTTGCACTCAGTTTTTGACAGAAAGTACAGAAAGAACCCCTGGGTCACTCTGTGCTGTTTCATGGTCTGAGGAGTCTTTCTTATCTCTTATCTCTTTAGCTTGGAAATTTGCTTCCTTTCTCCTCAGCTGGGGCAGTTTTACAGTGCTGCAGTTACCAGACTAATCAGCATATTTTACTTATTTTAGCAAGTTCAAAGCTGCACATTTCACCTAAATCCAAATGGATTTCTACCCTGTTAAATTTTCTCTCTGTCTCAGGCAAAAGCTTAGTTCTTACACTTCACTGCATAGCAGCAGATATACTATGGCATAATTCACTACAAGTAGCTGGTATCAGTATGTTTGTGTTAAAATGCCTGCTGGGATGGGATAACACCCACTGAACACAGGATGAGGACACCTGAACAGATCTGCCAACCATCAGCACTCACTGTCTGAAGGCAGAGTGGACCAAAGCCCAAAAACTGGAGGGGATAAGAATGGACTAAAACCACAACCAAAAAATACACACGCTCTGAAAAGGTGGACCCAGGGAGGAGCCAGGCTAAACAATCCTTGGAACACGTAAACTAGTTTGGGGGAAAGTTTACTATGCATGAGGTCTATGAATATGCAGCAGGCTGATGTAATTAAAGGTATTTGAGGGGTGTCTCCAAAGATAACGGGGTGCTCTTGGCTGAGTGCGAACCCTAACAACCTTTGCTCTGTGGTCCTTGTTTCCCATTGTCCTTTATTAAACTTTTTACATTTTCACAGCAGAGTGAACATGTTTTTCACAGCCCATCAGAAACATGCTGCCAGCAAAGGCAGGGGGGCTTCAGGCCTGATTCACCCCAGAGCTCCAGGGGAGGACCCCTCAGTGCCCCAAAGACCCCTCAAAGCACAGAGAAGTGTCTGGCAGGGCTCTGGCCCCTCCAGTCCCACTCCTCACACCTCACCCAGCAGATTCAAAGGCTGGACACAAAGTCCAGATGAAGCATTTCTTCTCCCCACTTAGTATAAATTATTGCACTTTTTCAGCTAAAATACTTTTGTACCTGCTTCCCACAGACAGGAAAAAAAAAAAATAAGGCAAAGAAAGACAGATTCTGATCACAAAGATTTACAGAGCCCTTGAAATACACAGGCAGTGAGGAAAACAGAAGGATCCAAGCTTTGTAAAACCCAGGAGAAGGTTTTCCTCCAGGGGCTCTTAGTTCATCCTGGTGGACTCGTTCACTTACTGTGGACAGCCACAACGAGAGCAGCAGTGAGGAGTGACCCAAGGACAGCTGCACAACTCCTCAGCCTCCCCAGCTCCAAAGCTGACATGTTTATTCCTGCCTGGAGGTCCCACAGATGTCACCACATTCCCTTCCTGGGCCAGTACCTGTGAAGAGAGCAAAGGGGTATTTGGGGGTATTTATACTCAGCTATATGCACAGGTCTGATTTCTCCCCCCCTCAGCAGTTCCTACAGTCACAGGAGAGGAGCAGAAGGAGCAGGAGCTGAATTTCTGTTCTGGAAATTTACAATTAAACCACTTTATTTTTAGGAATAAATCTCTTGGAAGCCAATTCCTAGTCAGAAGAAATCCTGCTGGGGTCACCAGAAGAGTTCCCCAACAATTAATCACCCTCAGGCAGAGGAGAAGTATCTAAGCAAAAAGTTCCATCAGTCTGTGCAAATACTCCCTGAGTAAAGGGAATATTTCAAGCTGTAAAGCTCACAGGTCAATCAAACCAAACTGCTTTACAAAATGGAACTTAAATGCAATTTGCACTCACCTGGCACCCCTAGGGAGCTGGAAGAGCCCTCCCTGTGCTACCCAGGGTCATTCAGGAGCCTGAACCCTCCCAAAGTTCCAGAATCTCCCAGTGCCTGCTTGCCTCCTGGAAATGAGGGTCCCCTCCCTGCCCCCTGCCCTGAACCCAACACCTCCCACGCCCGTTTCACACCTCTGCCTTTCTTTCCACCCTTGTCACACCTCCTGGTTTCATCTGATTTAATTTCCTGACCTGGGTGCCTGCTGGAGCTGCGCAGGAGCTCCAGCCCAGCTCCCAGAGCAGCACCTGGAGCTGCCAGGCTGGGATTTGGCTCACCTGGAGCTGTGGAGGCAGCAGATGGAGAGTCCTGGTGTGTTCAGCACTTGCAGGATGGAGCAGGGACTGCTCTCCTGCAGTCCAGGCAAAGGAGGAGTTTTATAGCACCCACATGCTCAGATCTGGCCCCAAGAGAAGCTTCAGTTCTGCAGAAACCAGAGCTGGCCCGTTGACCCATAAATCATTAACTCCACCCGAGCAAGGAGGAAGTTTATTCCACCCCCAGAGCAAAACACTACGAAGCTGAATGCAACCCAAGCAGATGTTGAAATTTGTTTGGTTTTTATGTGTGGAGGTGCCAAGTCTTTGAAATAATCCTTGCTGAGCTGCTCCACTGGGAGCTCGGGCACACTGAGGGGTGTCCTCAGGAGAGCTGCTTCACCCCACGGCAAGGCCACCCTGAGTTCATCCCCTCTGACCTCAGAAAGCCATGGCCAGCATTCCCAAAAGGGTTTATTCCAAGCCAGCCCCACCCAATCCCATGGAAGCAGCACAGGAGGGCCTGGGAGCATCGCTCGGAGCTGCACACACAGAGAATTCCAGAATGGTTTGGTTGGAAAGGGCCTTAAAGGTCAGTTCCACAGAAACCCTGAGATTCTGACCTCCAGAAAAAACACCCTTAAAACTGAGAAGGGGAACAGCAGTAGGGTTTAAGAGCCCCCATTTTCAACTCAGATTCCCAAACCAGAGGACACCTGCCCACCCCTGCAGCCCTGTTCCTCCAGAGACTCCCTGAGCTCCTCAGAAAAACAGCACACAGGGGAGAGTTAGAGCAAACAATGGAAAAGAACAGAAGGAATTATCTGTGGTTTTTAAAGTCTCTTTATTGTAAATAAACACTGACAGATATTTATGCTCAAGCGCACAGAGCACACAACACACAGCACGAGCTGACAGACACTGCAGCATTTTAAACCTAAAAAAAAGCCAAAACACTTAGAAGGCAGCAGAGTAGGAAAGTTTAGAAGCAGCTGGGCAAGATCCCTCTCACCAAACACTCCAGCCAGAGCTGCAGTGCAAGCAGAGCAGGGGGACAGTGTGGGGACAGAGCAGGGTGGCACTGGCACTGCTCACCCAGAGACCCTCAGAGGGGCACGGGGTGAGGCTGGGGACACCCCCAGGGCTGCTGGCTCTGGCCAGGCTGGTGCTGGTCCCTCTCCTCCCTCAGCTGCTCCTCAGCCCCTTGGCAGCCAGGCCAGGCTGGGTTGGGTTTAACTGGCACCCAGCCCAGCTGCCAGGAAGGGGACACCTGGCAGAGGTGACAGCTCTGAGGTCACAGCCAGTGTACACAGAGCAGCCAGTCAGGCTGGGTTTAATTCTTTTCCCTCATTTTTCAGGTTTTCCTGGAGATGAAGCAGTTTTCAGCCCAAAAACTGGGCGAGGGCAGGCAGAGGGGCAGGCAGGTGTCACTGAAGGTGACAGCAGCCAGCACCACCCGTGCTGCTTGAAACAGAGGCACAGAAAGTCAGGGGGTCACAGAACCCCCCCAGTCCTGAGGAAATGCTCAGGAAGGTGCCAGGCTCACATCCACACCTCCAAACCACCCCCAAACCCACCTCCAAACCCACCTCCACCTGCCCAGCCCACGGCACTAATCCCACTGACAGCACGAGCTGCTGCTGAGCTGTTCCACCAAAAACATCTCAAAACCCCGTTGTGCAACCTTTGTTTGTTCTGGGGTGTTTGCACGCCCAGTGCCAAGGAAATCAGGTGGTTTCAAGGAAATCCCTGGCACAGGGAGCTGCCAGGAGATGCCCACTGGCATCACCCCAGCCCTGCAGCCCCGAGGGCTCAGCAGGACCCTCAGGGCAACGATCTGCTCCCAAATCTGCTGCTGCTCTGCTCCAGACATGTTTGCTTTCGACCTTTTCAAGGCTAAAATGCAGGAGGAAAAAGCTTGAATTAAAGCACTGAGGCACAAACGCTGCAGAGAAGGATGAAATTCCATCCCACAGCCCAAAAAGGGACTCCCAGCCACTGACCCAAACTGCAAAGCACCTGATTTTCAGCAGGGATTAAAAAAAAGTCACGACCACCAACACATCGACAGCGACATTCACAAATCCCAGCAGGTAAAAATATAGATTTCTGTCTTCTTACAATCATTTACTGCTCAGTGACATGAACATAATGAACTCTTCAGCCAGTTTTCCCAGCATTTTTGTGCGTAAATATCCTACAGTACATTTTCCACTCCTTGTTCCACAGAGCAGGAGGGGTTTGGTCAGAGCTGGCCTGACAAGGACGGGGTTGTGCGTTCAGAGCATTTTGGAGTGACAGTGAGGACTGCCATGGCCAGGCTCTAAATCTCTTCCTTCAACATTTTTTTTTTGTTGATTTTCTGGTTTATTTCTAAGCACAACAACACTTAAAACCCAAAACCAGACGTGGCGGGGGTGGGGGGGAACCCTGAGGAGAAAAACGAATAAAACCTCTCACCCCTCTGTGGCACAATCCCTTTAGATCAACACATTTTTCTGCTCCTCAGAAATCCTGAGGGGTCCAGATTAGTGCCTTGGTCCTCTCTATCCCAGTTTTATCAAATTACAGCTCTGGGAGTGTTTAAAACAACCAAGTTTGAGCTCAAAATGCCCAGGTTAAGCCTCAGGCTCTGGGGTTGCTGAGCTCCTGCACAGCCAGGGCACATTTTCCCTGCTGTGGGTATATACAACATTTATTTACACATTTAAAATAAGCAACTTCTGGGTCCAGAAATGCTCAGATAAATCCTGGAGTCACCTGGGAACGGCAGGCCCAGAACAGCCTCCTGCCCTGTACCCAAATGTTCCTTTTTTCACCCAACCTGAGGGTCCTGCCCTTATTGCAAGAACAGCTGGAGTGGGGTAAAATGGAGTTTGGCAAAATGCAAGTCAAGACTGGTGGGAGAGAACTGAAAATTTGGGGTTTGGTGGGGATTTAAGGAAAGGATTTAAGTTAAAACACGGCCACACAGAGCTGCACCACCTGTGCTCCAAACTCTACAACAGCTTAAAACTATGAAAGGCAGCATTGGGAACATTCACAGCTTATTCATAGGCAAGTTAAAAGCTTGTTGTGGGTCTAAAATTTGGTGTAAAATAAAGAAAACTAGTAAAAACCTTGTGCTTCCTGCAAACCCTGCCCAGGAGCTCTGCTGGCCCCAGCCATGCTCCCATTTTCTGGGGTAAATGGACAAAACACCTCCAAAATGCAGGAAAAATGAGTGAAAGGATGGAGTTTAGGTAGGGAGGAGAAGCTAAAATAGGGCTTGAGGTGGGATTTAAAGCACTGGGAGCTGTACTGCTTCCAGAGAGGGGCAGGAGGGTTTATTCCCATCTGTCCCTCACAGGAGGCAGCCTGTGGGATGGATGTGCTGACCTGAGTGTCACATCCAAGCAAAAGCCTTCCCAGGGCAAAAGAACTGGCTCAGACTGGGGGATTCCCACCAGCACTCAAGGAGGGAAAATCAAACCCTACCTGGAGCTCCCTGGATGGCTGAACAGCAGAAAAAATTGAGTTTGAACTTGGAAACAACTTGGAAATGGAGAAATAAAACCGTGGGGATTTGGCCTGGAAATGCCTCTTCCAAAGAAAAGCTTCCTCAGCGAGTAGAAACATGATTATTTTGTCCTCCCACTGTGGTTAATTTTGGCACCTGGCCAGAAGGAAAGACGTGGAACACTATTTCAACACCCGGGGATGTGCTGGCTTATGAGCGTTAAAAGCAGCTTGGAAAAATCTCCAGAAGAAATCTTCTCCAGCCCCGTGGACAGACGTTGCAACATTTGGAAAGAAAAGACACAGACAGGCTCTAAAATCCCAGTTCAAGGCGAGTACTGGCCAGGGTGGCTCACGGTGCCCCAGGGATGCTCCACTCCCGGCTCCTCCTGGCCCTGGAATTCCCAGCTGGGTGCAAGGTGAAAGCAGGAGCCCCTACACTGCTAAAGTGGCCATTCTCTGCAGGGAAAAGAGAAACAGGAGAGGTCACAGCAAGGAAGGCAGCAGAGGGTAAAGCTGGAGGCAGCCCAGCTCATGGAGAGGTGACTCCAGCTCCATGGAACTGCTGCCCACGGCAGGAACCACCTGAGGATTTGCTTCATCCCCTCCATCCCAGCACACAAATGTGGGAAATGTGTGTAGTGGACCCATGAGGGGTAATTTTAGATGGCTGGCTTTAAGGCATTTACAGCATGGTGTGGCAAAAAGCTGATAGGCCAAGAAACACTTACAATGTATTGTAATTAAGAAATAATTGGCTACTGATTGTGATGGTGTGAATTATAACATCTGTATTGTCTCACCCTTCACATGAGTTTTTAAAACACCTCTCAGTTACCCCATCTCTGGGTCAGAAAAGGGTATTGTTGTCTGACACACAAAGACCTGTTTCACTCCTTACATCACCCTTCAGCCTCCTGCCAAGCCCCCCTGAAGGGTTTTCCCATCTCAGCCTGAGCCCACACAAGCTCAGAGAGGTGGAAAAGCTCAGGAGTAAGGAGGCAGGTTGGTTTCTCAGGGTTGCTCACTTTTATTTACCTTCTCCATGGGGAATCACACTGCCAGAACCACCCAAGAACCATCGCATGTTGCAAACTGATCACAATGAATACTTGGAGCTTTGATAAAACTCCTTCCTCTGCCTCACTCAGGGCCCAGCAGACACCAGGAACACACACAGACAGTGAAAATCAAAGATAAATCCACGATCCAGTGACTCCTGCAAAATCCCTGAGAGCAGCAACATCACCACACCTTGTCCTGGGAAACCTGGGACTGCCCTGCTCAGCACCATGAACCATCCCATGATCCAGGGATGGAGCAAGCTGGGCTAAAACCACCATATGCAGCAGCCAGCACAAGCACAAGCCCAGCTGGAGCCCCTGGATCAGCAGGCTCAGCCCCCACTGAGGCCCCCCAGAATCTCAGGTTTTATCCAGCACAAGATTCCTTCTGCTCTGTGGGTTTGTCTTTGCCCAGAGTGGTTTCCATGCAACACGAATCAAGAGAAATCTGACTTACTAACCCCAAAGAGAGCACACCCAGCTGCTTGCAGTGGTACTCAGAGGCAAGCATTTCCCTCTGGAGGCTGCAAAGGAAACAGAGAAGCACAGCAGGGCTCATAGTGCATCTTAAAGGAGACTGAAATAGGAAAAGCAGCAAAGCAAATGAGGGGAGGAGTGAAGCAGCCCCAGAATTTCCTGTTAGCCCAGGGCAGGTTTGTGTCGCAGCAGGAAGTGGTGGAAGGCAGGGACAGCATTTGGCTGCAGTAAAAAACTGGGACAAAGAGGGTATTTGTAACTTTTCCCATCAGATTTTAGCCCAGAAGCAAAATCCTACCCAGAATTAATCCCCCTACCAAAACCCCGTGGCACTGATGGAAACCTGCCCGTGTGGAGCCTGACTCTGAAAGACTGGCACCACAATTCCAGTTGGATGGGGGGGATTTTTATGTTTTGGGGTTGGTTTTGAGGGGGTTTTTTAATTGTTTGTTTTTTTTTTTCTTAATCCCATCCAGGCTGGATGATTTCCATGCAGAAACAGAAACCCTGCTCAGGATGCTGGGCAGGGTCTGGATTTCGGAGAGGACCACGGGCAATGGTGGGGAGGGGGAGCAGAGGGAAGGTACCACCTGGGCAGTGACTTCCAGCTGTGGCTGCTCAGCCCCTTCTCGAGCTTCCAGGGATGGGAAAGGCCCTCGAGCTTCCAGGGATGGGAGAGGCCCCAGCAGATGGAGGGGTTTGCTGCCCAGGCTGTGGTGCCGCGGGCGCTTTACGGTGTCGGCGCTGGCCCGCAGGGTAAAGCTGTTCCTCCTCATCCTCACAGGGCTCTGCCTGCTGGGCAGCTCGTGCTGATCCCACACAGAGGGAATTATCAGGAATGAAAACAGTTTAAAGCCACGTCACACACCTCCAGCAACCCCACTCTGAGTGTCCCAGCGACCCCGCATCAGGCTGTGCCTCCCCCAGCTCTGAACCAGCTTGGGAAACAACTTAATCCATCTTGGAGACAAGTGGAAAGTGATTTTTCAGCAGTTTTGCTCCCCTTTGGGTCTTTTGTTTTGCTTAGGTGGCTCTGTTTGGGTTTTTTTTAGGTTTTTTAGGTTTTTTTTCCTCTCTGCACGATCAATTTGGGGGGAAAAAGAAATAAGCAAATAGAAAACCCTCCCTTCTTGCTGTTTCTTCTGCCCCACAGCAGCTGTGTTACCCAAGCAAAGCAAAGAACAGAGGCAGCCTCCAAGTGGGCAGCAATGATTTCCATGCAGGGATCACAGAGAAGCTGGAGAAGTGAGAAATCCCAGAGTGGTTTGGGTTGGAAGAACCTCTAAACATCACCTAATGCAACCCCTTGCCATGAGCAGGGACAAGCTGGAAACCACGAGGATCCACACAAATCGTGCCCAATGTCCTCAGTTTGGCATTTGACAGCTCCACAAAGCCTCCAGCCAAAGCTGCAGGTTCCCAGTTTCCCCAGTCCCTCGGCACAAAAGAATAATCAGATCCCAGCCCAAGGGATCTTCATGAAATACAACAAAAAGCCTAAATGTACAAAACCTAAAATCAGATGCATTCAGACTTTCTGTGAGCTAGCAGAGCTGGTTTGTGCTCTCTAATGGGGGAATTAATTAGAGGCAATCACTGAGGCTTTCCCTGACAGTCCCTTTGGAAAACAGGGTTTGTAAAATCAAGGCCCTCAGAGATCAGCAGCTCCCCCAGATTTTGGAGGTGGTTACAAGAAAAACCCACTTAAACCCTTTTGCCAAGTCTTTTTGAAATCACCAATAAGCAGCAGCAACAAACACTGCACTGAAAGCTGAGAACAAAACCTGGAGTTTAAAATCTATGCCCCAAATTTGCTTATTCTGCTCCCTACAACGGCTCTGAAAAATATCCCCCCCTGTCCTGGGAAGGACTAATGCACCTTAAAATTAATTCTGCTTTTGGAGGTTATTTCTGAAGAGAATCCTCCTGCTCACTAAAAGCCACCAGGCAGTTCTGGCAAGTGTTTAAGAGGGTTTGTGACTTATTTTGGAAAAGGTGGAGCAGAGGGGTGCAGCAAAACTTACTGAGTTCAGGGAGGGCTTGTCCCGGTGGGTGTTCACTGCTTCCACATCCAGGGAAATTGTCTCCACCTTGCAGCCTTCACCCACGAGAAAGAGAAGTTTATATGAGTAATTTATTAAAAAAACAGCAGGGAAAATGAACAGGAATAAATCTCTTATTTATAAAATTAACAGAGCTCATAAATCCACAGTTCACCCCACAAACAGAATTTTACATTTGGTGGTTTTTAAGTGCGAGAGCACAGCCCTGAGTTATTTGGGCTGCAGAGAAAAGCCAATTTTAACTGACTGCACCCCAAGTTTGGAGGCACAGCCTTCCTCAGGGAAAGGAAAATCCACAGGGAAAATCCAGTTGTTTAAAAGAGAGGTCAGAGGAAAAGACCATGAACCTCCACATCTGCTCCCCCAACACCCCCACCCCTCCAGAACCCTTTTCCATGTTAACTTTTTGTATGTTAACCAGGAAATAACCTCTTTGTGTATTACCAGAAGCTTCTAGAGCATGGCCAAGTGCTGCCACACATGGACACAAACCTGCCCATAACATCCCCACACACAACCCAGGGCAGGAATTAAAATTAAAAATGAAAACAAAGCAGTTATTTACCATAGGCAACAGGTGTGAGCTTGAGAATGGTGTGGAGGGGGCAACGCAGGTAGGGCAGCTCATCTAGGGCAGAGGAAGGGGTTATGGGGTCACCTGGCATGCCACAGCCCCCCTGTCCCCTCCCCAGCCCCACAGCAGCAGGGATGTCCCTGCCCATCACAGAGGGCTTGGACTAAACCCTTTTAAGGGTCTTTTCAACTCAAACCATTCTAGGAATGAATGGAAATTCTCCTGGGAATTAGAGCCTGTGGATGGCACCCAGGCATTCACTGATGACAGCAGTGAGACACAGAAAATCAAAATACAGCAGCTGGGGATGAGAGTGGGGCCCAGGCTGGCCCAGGGGCTGGGTTAGGGGTTGGACTCCACCCTCTAAAAGGGCTTTTCCTGCCCAAACAATTCCATCATTCCATGCCCAGTGCACAGGGCCAGCCAGAGGAAACCTCTCCGGGGGCACAGGGCTGGGAAAGCACCTCTGCAACTGTTGCCCTGATTCTTAAAATTTTCTAAAGCCTTCCAAGTTTACATTCTTGTAGAGAATTTTCTCACACAACTTTCTATAAACATCTATGGTTTTGCATTCCTCCATAGAAGCAAAGAAACTTAATATACTAATAATTTGTCCAATGCCATTGGAGAGGTGGCACATTCACTCTCCAATCCACTGTCACCTTTAGAAAAATATAAATGCTAAAATCAAAAAATAAAATTTCTCTTTTTCACCTTACAATAGCAACAGCTCAGGTTGTGCTTTCACATATCCTATAACAACAAGCAACAGCTGCCATGGGCCCACAGGACATTCGTTCAGAGCTGTATTTAAAAGTTTATGAAGTTGGTTAGAAGTTTATAAATATCATTAAAAGTTTTATGAAGCTCTAGTGCCACTCACTGGAGCTTGCAGCAGACTGGAGCCTTCCAGGTGTGTGTGCTGTGCAAGAAATCAGCATTTCCCTGGGATGGAGCCCTCCTGTCAACCCTTCCAGGCCACTGAGGCTCTTTCATTCATCAGAAAATGATGAATTTTTTTTTTCTTTACATTAAAAACCAGTCCCCTACACATTCTGTAAGCTCTGCTGCTGAAAACAGCTCCAGAAACAACATCTAGGCAGCAAAAGAGCAGCACATCCCCAGGGAGCTCCTCACACTGCTGCAGTGCAAGGGTTAAAGCACTGCTGAAACATTTCCTTTCCTCCTTTTTTAAACATCTTGTTTAAAAACCTCATCTTGTTAAAAATAATAAAAATCCACCCAGTCATTCTAAACCACCCTCCCAAAAACCCCATGAGGGGAAGCAGGGAGAGGAGCATCATCCCTTTATTTTTGTACCTGCACTCTTGTCAAGAAAATAAGCCAGGAGGCACCTCATAACTGCCTGGTGGGAGATAACCAGGACATTGCCTTGCCTTTCCAGCTCCATAATTACTGGCTCCAGGCGCTGCACCAAGTCCTGGTAGGACTGGAAAACCAAACAGGAATTGGTCAAGGGGTTGTGTAAACACAGGGTTAAACACAGGTGGCAATTAACAGCGTCACATTCAGGGAAATATCAGTTAAAGCAGCATAAAGTTAAAGGAGGGTATGGGTGAGGTGGTAAAAATAGTAAAAAAAAAACCCAAAAAAGGCAACAGCAGAAAGTGAATTTCTGTGTTAGAACCCTCAGACCGTGGGAGGGCTCAGATTACTGGTAACTCAGTGAGTGCAGTCAGGAAAAAAATCCAATAAAATAGTAAATGATTCATGTGAACAGGTTGTGAAGTTAAGCCAGAAATTACTCCAGGCCACACCCACGATAATTTTGTTTCCCAGATGGTTTCTCAGGGACAATTCAGGCCTGGGATGCAGAGCCCCCTCAGTGTCTGAGGACAGCATCCAGCACGTGGCCAAATTAATGGATTGAAAAGCATCATCTGCACACCCCCATGAGGGAAATCAAGAAACATTTCCCCCATAAGAGAACTGGAGATCCTAATGTTTTCATTAGGATGCAAATTTGCAATTTTGCATACAAATATCGGCAGAATAACTTCAAAGAGAGTCAGTTTTAACCCTAACCCCACACAGAAATGTTTGTTTCACTGCACCGTGCAGAGCTGTTGTTTCTTTAGGTCCTCACCTCCCCTCCAGGATAACGATAAAGATATTTCTCCTGATCCCTCATGGCAAACTCATCTGGATACTTGGCTTCAATTTCTGCATAGGTCATTTCTTCACAGACCCCCTGAAGGAAGGAAAAACTCAAACCACAAACCTCATTTCACCAGAGGGCCAAGAGGGAGGCAGCAGGGAGGAAAGGAAAAGCAGAGGCTGAGATCAGGGCTCCTTTTATGGCATGGAAATTTTAGGTGTTGCATCTGACCCAGCCCTGCCCTCAGTGTGGGTTCCAGGGTGGTTTGAAGAGGCTGGGCTTTGGTTTTATCTCCAAACCAGAAAGGATGACATCCCTGGTGTTTGCCAGGGATGAAAAATGAGCTCTCAGCAACTTCCCCAGCAACCACCCTGCAATTTCCTGAGAGAATCAGAGTGGGAGCAGCAACCTTTGCCCAGCCAGGAGGGTGTGACAGATGTCTGGGGTGCTCAGTGTTCTTTTCCACCTCCACACCACCTGCAATGTCCCCAGCAAGACCTGGCAGCTCTGAACACTCTCAGCCCTGTCCCCAAGCACCCCAAACCTCCTCCTGCAAGGCTGACGTCCGTGATACAAAAACACAGATACAAATCAAGAGAAAACAGCTGAGTTCATGGTGATGACTTTGGATTTAAGGATTATTTCCCACCTAGAAAAGCTGAGGTTTTTAAGCAGCCTCTCACTCACAGCATCAATCTCATTGAGGATTTTCCACTGCTCGTAGAGCACCCCCAGGGACTCGGCTGTCTGGATTGTCCTCTTCAGCTGGCTCGTCCACACCTTCAGGTCCACGATCTCCTGCTCCTCAATGAACTTCTTCAGAGCCTGGGAAAACTGGGGAGAAAAGTTCCAGGAGGTTAGGAGCAGGGTAATGCCTTATGGGATCCCTAAAAACACAGATTTTAAAATTTTTAATTCTATATTAAATAATTAAAAATGTAATAATCAATTCAGACAGAATTAAATTAACAAAAATCAGGTATATTTACTGATTATAAATATTCAGGTACATTTAGGGCAGACAAAGTCCCCCATGGGCTACACCCAAAAATGGACCACTGTCAGAATCCAGAGCTTCCCTCTGGCTGCCCTGGCAGGTCTGGGACCCTGGCAGGGATCAGGAACCCCCCTGGACAGAGCCCCCAGAGACACTGGCTGTGATCTCTGCCCATGGAAAAGAGTTTTCAATCTCACAGGATGAATTACAAGCTCTGAGGGTTTGATATAAGGAATAATTAAGTGTGGCACGGGTGCAAAAGTAAAATTTTAGGATTCTAGATTAGGGGTTCAAAGGGGACAAAATGGAGGAAATTGGGTGTGTCTTGTCCTTTTTCTCCTTCTTCATGCCCTCCATGTTTCACTGTGGTGTTGGCATTTTTCTGTTGGTTCAGGCTGGGGACACACTGTCCAACGTAGGTGACAGATATTGGCACGTTATTGTAAATCCAGCACAGGTAGTTTGTGGTATTTAATGTTTGTACCATCCCACTGAGGGCAGAGCCCCACACGCTGCCCTGCAGGACAGAGCTGCGGCAGGGCAGCAGAACATGTTAGAGATAAACAGAATAAACAACCTTGAAACAGCACAGACCAATTATGGCTTCTGCTTTGGCAGGGGGCTGACAGACAGAGACTTTCTACAACCTCGGGATCACCAATACCACAGATTCTGACAGACCACAGCTTTCACACTTTTTAAAGTTTGGGCCACTTGCATTTTTGGGGTTAATGTTCTAATTACAGCTTCAGCTAATGAAGTCATTTACCTCAAGTTTGCGCCCCCCAACTCACTTTTGTTTCAATCTCTCAGGGCCTGAGGCAGTGAGGTGTCCTTGACTGCCAGGCCTGGAGAAGAATTGTTTTGTCAAAATGGGAAAGCAGCAGCTGTCACTGGGTGTGGAGTTTGGAGTTATACACTAAAGAATTGCAGGATTACAAATGTATGAAAAATAGAAAAGCTAAAATCCTAAGGCATGGAGGGAGCAGGGTGAGCTGCAGCTGCTCAGAGCATCGCTGGGGGCTGTGGGTCCCTGATGCCTTTGGATTTCAGCCTTTATAATTTTCAAATCCTGTCCTGCATTAGTGCCTAACTCTGAACTCCATATAAAGTGTTAACTACTGTCTTCACATTTTGGTGAGGCAAAACAATCCTCTGGGCTTGGAACTCAAGCAGAAAAGTGTAAACAAAAGTGAACTGGGGTATCTGACTTCATGACCTGAAGTTGGAACTGGAGAATTAACCCCTGATATGGAAATGGACCAAACTTATTTCAGTCTGAGGAACTTGTGACCATCATTCATCTTGGGTGCAGCTTCTGGGAGCTTTGAAGGCCTTTAATAAATACCTGTCTTATTCTCTTAGTCCTGTCCAGCCTCTGTGATGCTTTAAAAGGCTGATCTGGAACAGAGATTAGACAGAGTTAAATGAATAAAGTAGGTATTTATTGAGAGGCCTTCAAAGGATTCACCTTGGGCAGTACCAGGGCTACACCCAGGATGGATCCAAGATGGAGTTTTTACACTTCTGTAAGTTTTGGTCCATTTCCATATTGGGGTTAATTGTCCAGTTACAGCTTCAAGTGATGAAGTTCCATCCTCCTGGTCTGCTCCCCTCAATTCAGTGTTGTTTCTGCTTTTTGGGTAACAGGTGAGCTTGATTCTCAAACTGCAAAAGGACTCTTTTGTCTGTTTGAAAACTAGATACAGTTTTTATCAGAATATATTTTCAATAAGGTTTTACTTATGTTCTAGTATTATTATTTCCAGTATTTCTGTTTTGCTTTTTCAGCTGTACTTTGGAGCATTTTCTGATTCTATTGGACTGTATTTTTCTGAGGCTTCAGAAAGGAACATTGGGGGATCAGCCTGGCCAAGGAAGAGGAATTTGCTGCAATAATTTGTACAGACTGAAAAGGTGATGCATATGTAGTGAAAGCCAATGATGATTCTGCAGTGATTAGGACAGAATATGAAGGAAATACTGGTTTAGAGAGAAAAGGATAGCTGACAAAAGTGTTGAGAAATGGTCAGAATTCTAAAGGAATTGAATGTGCCAGGCAGCAACTGACAGAATGAGAGGACAGTCTTAAGCTGCACCAAGGGAAATTTAGGTTGGATGTTAGGAAAAAGCTTTTCACAGAAAGTGTGATAAAATTCTGGAATGTTCTGCCTGGAGAGGTGGTGGAGTCACCATCCCTGGGTGTGTTTAACAAAGCCTGGATGTGGCTCTGGGTGCCAGGGTTGAGCTGAGGTGTTGGGGCTGGCTTAGACTCAATGACCTTAAAGGTTTCTTCCAACCTGGTGATTCTGTGATGAGAACTTACAACACTTAGTACAAAGTTCAGAGTCCCACACCAAGTCAGCACAGAACCTGAGAAACACAAAAGCTAAAACTTAAGGCATCATCTGCACTCGGCAGCACTGCAAGGCACCAGCCCTGGCTCCCAGCGAAACGTAAATTTTAAGGAATTTAGAGATTTTAGAGGAGCTAAGATTTTAGTTAGAGATAAGCCTTACTAGAGTTAATTAAAATAAATAAGCAGGCCTTGATGAAGTTAAGAGTTAGTAGTTAACTAATAATTGATTGCTTGTCAGCACAATGTTTAGTTAGCTGGGTTTATAATGAAGAATATAGAAACTGACAAATAGCTTTTAGGAACAATTCAATTGTGGAACAATTGTCTTTAGGAACAAAGACAATCGTGGGCCTCCCCTCTTCTGAAACCAACTGAAGACAAGGAATTGGAGTTCCACCAAGAGTTCATTTGTCATATTTGCATTGGAAAGGTAGAAAGGTCAGAACAAGAAAGACTTTATTTACTTCCTCATTTTGGGACCCCTCCCCATGAAAGGGACACCAACCTATTTCAAGGTACAAACTACACATGCTTAATAGCTTTTGAAATAATTAGCATATGAAGCGAGGAATGGGATGTACCAAAATGATGAATATGTATTTGTATTTTGGGTATTCAATACTTGTATGGATAAAAGGGCTCTGTAATCACCTGGAAGGTGCGGTGTGTATTTGGGAGCTATCCCACACACAATAAACACTTTTTAACCGTAAACTGTTAAAGAGATTTTGTCCCTCACAGTTGGATATCGGTACTAGATCAATATCTGTTGGAACTCAAAATGTCCCTCAGACATTTTCAGAGGTTCCAGGCCTTGGTCAGAAGCATTTGAGACCCTGGCAGGCAGCTGGAAACAGCTGTGATTTTGGGTTTGAGCCATGGAATGAGTTACCAACTTTGAAGGTGGAACAAGCAGTCACAAAAGGTTAGGTATTATAGTAGAGGTAGTTACAAAGTAGAGGGGAAAATTTTTTAGTATTGTACAGCGAGGTTTTAGCACCTGTACAGGGGGGTTTTTTACTTTGTACATGGGGGTCAGAAGCTTTAAGATGGAGGAACATGGGCTGATCCTGTTCCTCCTCTTTCTTCTTCCTTCCCTCCATGTTCTTGGTGATGTTGGTACTCACAGGTTGGTTTAGAGTAGAAAAGCACCATTTAATATAGGTAATAGGCATTGGGGAAAAACTGTACCCATGTAACACGTAATGTACCATATAAAAGATAGAAAAGCACCATTTAATATAGGTAATGGGCACTGGGGAAAAACTGTACCCATGTAACACATAATGTACCATATAAAAGATAGAAAAGCACCATTTAATATAGGTAATAGTCATTGGGGAAAAACTGTACCCATGTAACACGTAATGTACCATATAAAAGACAGCAGCAGCCCTGGGCAGAGGGGGAGAGAAGAAGCAGTCGGGAGTCAGAGAGGATGTCAGGGTGTGTGTGTGCCTCTGCCTGAGCTCTGAGCAAACCACAGCAGCCCCAGAAGAAAATCTTTTAGATAACTTGCAATAAACTGCCTTGAGACCGAACAGCAGAGACTGCTGAGCCTTTCTTTGGAAGCACAGGTTGGAGGAGAGACTTTACCACCACACAGAACCCCTGAACCAGGCCAGGGTTCTGATAAATATCCATATTTTTTTAATAAATCACCAGGGCACAGCCCCAGCCCCCAGGGGCTGCTGGGCACCCACCTGCTTGCCCCGGGCCGACAGCCCCGAGTCCCCTCCAATCCTGCCCAGGAGGTTGTACTCGCTCTCGCCGTGCCGGCAGAGGTAGATGGTGCGTGGCTGGACGTGGATGTTCATCAGGTAATAGACAATTTTACTCTGGATGTAGTCCTGGACTCGGTTAACCAGGAACCGCTGGCCCACGTTGATCACTTTAATGAAGGAAAGATCTCTGGAGTGGACATAAAGTAAGAACAACCCACATGGGTGGTTTGAAAAACCAGGCACAAGCACCTGCAAGGGTCACCCAGCTACTGCTCCTCTAGGAAAGGCAGGACAGGCTCTGAACTGCTGGGCTTAAAAATCCTTCCCTGGGAGGGTGGGGAGGCCCTGGCACAGAGTGGCTGCTCCTGCATCCCTGGGAGTGACCAAAGCCAGGCTGGACAGGGTGTAGTGGAAGGTGTCCCTGCCCATGGCTCTTAGAGATCCCTTCCAACCTAAACCACCCTGGGTTCTGCAGCACACACAGAAAAATCCCTTCAGATCTCACTGGGACCTGTGATTCACCTGCACACAGTCACACCTGGGGAGAGCAGAGGTGTTGGAGCATCCTGACAGCAAAGCAGCTCCTGTACCCAAGGACAAAGGGATGTGCCAAGGGATTTGCTCACTTGTCATTAGCATCCGGGTCCAGAGGCTGGTAGGTGACCTTGTAGCACTCGATCCTCTTCAGGAAATCGTCCATCACATTCTCCCGGTGCCTCTCCGGGTAGTCAGGGCTGGAAACTTTCACCTCCTGCCCAACAGACAGCTGAGCTAAGCAAACTCAAGAGGGAACAAAAGCCACGATGAATAAAATTCCCCTCTTTTGAAACAAATCCACATTGTTTGCCGCCGCCCTGAGGAAAAACCTGCTCCTGGAGAGGAAACAAAGGGCTACTCTTAAGGCACTGAAGGGGCTGGCCCTGACAGACACCGCTGGCTCAGAGCTCTGCCCTCCCTCCCTCCCTAGGACAGGCTCCAAGGTCACCCATTCCCGGCTCCTCTGGATTTCCACATTCTCACATAACGGCATCTCTGGCTTTTAATAAACCTGCAAATCCCAGCTGCCAGTCCCGCAGGTGAAAGGCAAGAGGGAGGATTTGACAGAGATCCCCACGAGCTCCCCGAGCCCGTGACCTTGCACTGAGAGCCTGAACTCCCACAGCAGCCCAGCCTGGGAAGGGCAGCACGCACCAGGATATTGGCAGCGATGACCTCTGGATCGTCACAGACAGACTCCACAAAAAACACCTGGGCAGGAGGCAAGGAAGCACATTTCAGAGTCAAAACTGCAGAGCTCCTGTGCCAGGGAGCCACAGCGTCCCTCAGCACAGTGACTGCAAATCACACACACAATTAATCACGCACACAATTAATACATACACAATTAATCACACACACAATTAAAGCACTACCTTGAAAGCATTTTCCTTAGCAAAATTTAAGATCAGGTCCCGGCGCTCCCGAGTCGTGTTGGTCGCATCAAACACCTGGCAGAAAATGAGGAAGGAGCACTGAGCAAGTTTATCTTAAGACTTTTAAACTCCAACCCCAAATCAGGTCCCCGAACACTCCAGGCAGCTTTGGACTGCCCTGATGTAGAACTATTTTTAGTGCAGAGGATCTTACAGCAATTTGCCCACACTCCTCCAAGAGATAAGACTTCACGTCTTCCAGAGCCACCAGGGCACAGCGTCTGCAAGACAGAAATAGGGATGGTCACAGCTGACGGAAAGCATTCCCACAGCAAAGCTTCTGAGCCAGCAGGGAGGGATTCAAACACCTCCCTCGCACCCCTGCACCGTTCTAAGAGCCCCAGAGATCTTGGGGCACCTCCACTGTGTGGCCTGACCCTGAGCTTTGTGGCAGCCCCAAACTCCCACGCCCATCGCTGGCAGGATCCCTGCACAGGCTGTGCTGTTCCTTCTTCCTTCCCCAGGCACTCGTGGTTATTTTCTGCTCCTCACGCACACAGCCTGCCAAGACTCCAGCATCCCCAGCCCCTGACAGGGACTCACTTGCGGATTTCCATGGCCTCTTTGTTGTCGTGCCTGAAGAAATCGTAGGACTTGTAGGACTTCACCGCCTCGCGCCGATACACCCCTAAATTAAACACTTCACACACAGGAGAGGAGAGGGTGAGGACATTCCACTGGCAGGTGCCACAGCCCGGGCGGGGATGTCCCCAAACACGCACACCCACCTTTGGTGGGCACCCCGATCCAGTTGAGGTAGCGGGTGAGCTTTTTGGACATGTAGGTCTTGCCCCTCGCGGGCAGCCCGATCATCACGATCAGCGTTGGGGAGTTGGTCATGTAGGAAGCCCATGCTGCAACAAAAAAACAAAAAAAAACCCCCAAATACACCCCAAAACAGCATCAGGGGCGCTGCAGAGCATAAAGCGAGACCCAGCGCAGCGTCACCCCGTGTCCCGGTGGATAAAGCACCTCCGCGCATCCCAGGACGGGCTCGCGGTGTGTCCTTGTCCTTAATGAGCTCCCGTGATCACTCTGGGGTCTTTCAGGTGTTTGCTAATGAGGCGGACCGGCTGCACCGCTGCCTAATGGGGCTTTTAGCGTTAAAAGCATTTGCCGCCCGGGCAGGCGCCGTCAAGGGCGAACGAAAGATGTTTTTAACAAAACGGTCACGTTCTCTCAGCAAACAGCCCGAGCAAGCTCCGAAAAGGCCCGCGGAGAGGCGGATTTGGGGCGAAAAGCCCGGGATGGGGATGGGCGCGGGAGGTTGGGGGCAGGGGAACGGCGGGAGGGGACAGCGGGACAGGGGCAGGACGGGGACCCACGGGAGGGACGCGAGGCTCGGGGCAGACGCGCGCAGCCTTCCCCCCCTCCCGCTGCGGATCCCGGTTCTGCAGGGCGCGGGGCGCGCACCCTGCCCCGCACCCCGGGCCGGGGCTACTCACAGCACTGCTTCTCGCCGGCCCGGCCCCGCGGGGCCCCGCCGCAGCCCCGCGCCGCCGCCGACATGGCTCCGCGCCCCGCCGTATGCAAATCGCATGCAAATGACCGGCGGAGCTCGCACACGGCGGAGCGGGGACGGAAACCGGGTCCCGGGGACCGCACACGCGGGAAAAGGGGCGCGGCGGGGCGGGAAAACGGGCCCGCGTCACGCGCGCGGGGGCGCGCTGTATGCAAATGAACCGGGTGGGCGGGGCAGCCGTTCGCTGTATGCAAATGCACCTTGAGGGCGGGGCAGCCGCTCGCTGTATGCAAATGAGGACTTGAGGGCGGGGCAGCCTCTCGCAGTATGCAAATGAAGCCTTGAGGGCGGGGCAGCCGCTCGCTGTATGCAAATGTACCTTGAGGGCGGGGCAGCCGCTCGCTGTATGCAAATAAGGACTTGAGGGCGGGGCAGCCGCTCGCTGTATGCAAACGAGACCGGGAGGAAGGGAGAGCCGCGCGCTGTATGCAAATGAGACCGAAAGTTCGGTGGGCGGGGCGAGAGGGGAACGGGAGCACGCGCGCCATGCAAATGAGATGCGCGGCGATGAAAGGGGAACGGGAGCTCGCGCCTCTATGTAAATTAAGGCGGGCTATGCAAATCACATGGGCGGTAATCACCCGGGAAAGGGCGGGGACAGCGAGTCACGGCAACGCCTCGCCTTATGCAAATGAGGTGGCAGGCGGTGTCCGGCTGCATGCAAACTAAGTGGGCGGTGTCACCTCCTCTGCGCCAATCAGACGCCGGGCGCGCGCCCGGCTCTATGCAAATGATCGCCGGGGGCGGGGCGCGGCGTGCTCTCGCGAGAGCGGGGCGGGGCGGGCCGGTGGCGGCGCGGCGGCGGCGGCGGCCCCGAGGATGCTGCGGCTGCGCTGCAAGGCCCGGAGCGGCTCGCACGCGCTGCCGGGGCTGTCGCCGCACTCCCGCCTCCGCGACATGCAGGCCGCGCTGGCCGCGCTCACCGGAGTGCCCGCGCCCGCGCAGCGCCTCCTGCACGGCTTCCCGCCGCGCAGCCTCGACCTCAGCGACGGCGAGCGGCGGCTGGGCGAGCTCGGCATCCACTCGGGTGAGGGCCCCGGGGGGCGGCGCTGCGCGGGCTCTGCCGCCCCGCCGGCTGTAATTACGTTAATTAAAGAGGCCGTGGCACGCACGCCCCGCGTCAGCCGGCGGTCGGGCCGGTTCCAGTTCCCGGGGGAGGCGGCGGCGCTTCCTGCTCGCCGCCGGTGCTTTGGCCGCTCGCGGGGGTCCGGAGGGAGCAGCGCGGGGCTGGAGGGGACGGGGCCCGGCCGCGCCAGGTGAGTCCCGCGGGGACCGTTGTGCTGCACCGGCTGTTGGCTGAGGCTGTTCCCGGCGGGACACCGAGCGGGGGAAACGGGCCGAGGTGTGCGAGGCCAGCTTGGACGGGGCTAGGAGCAGCCTGGGCTGGTGGAAGGTGTCCCTGCCATGGCAGGGGTGGGGCTGGGTGGTGTTTGGTCCCCGGGATTCTCCTCCGGGATCCTCAGCAGGGACAGCACGGCCCTGTTGTTGTTGTTTGAGGAGCAGCAGCCGCTTTAAGTCTCCCCTTTGCGTCTCTCTCATCCATTCCCGCTCCTCTCTGGCAGGTGACACTCTCATAGTGGAAGAGGACACATCCAAACCCGAGCCTGACTCGCCGGTGGTGGCCAAAAAAGCAATGTCCCAGCCTGTCAGGGAAGCCGTGCCTGTGCTGGCCCGGAGGGTGGTGCCAGCAGACAATTCCTGCCTGTTCACCAGCGTGTTCTACGTGGTGGAGGGCGGCGTGTACGACCCCGGCTGCGCTCCGGAGATGCGCAACCTCATCGCCCAGATCGTGGCCAGCGACCCCGAGTCCTACAGCGAGGCCGTGCTGGGTAAAACCAACAGGGAATACTGTGACTGGATCCGCAGGGAGGAGACCTGGGGAGGAGCCATCGAGGTGTCCATCCTCTCCAAGTTCTACCAGTGCGAGATCTGCGTGGTGGACACGCAGACCGTGCGCATCGACCGCTTCGGCGAGGACGCCGGCTACAGCAAGCGCGTGCTGCTGATCTACGACGGCATCCACTATGACCCGCTGGAGCGCCGCCTGCCCGGCTCGGACCTTCCTCCCCAGACCATCTTCCCCAGCAGCGACGACGTGGTGCTGGCGCAGGCGCTGGAGCTGGCGGATGAGGCGCGCAGGAAGAGGCAGTTCACGGACGTGAATCGCTTCGCCCTGCGCTGCATGGTGTGCCAGAAGGGACTGACGGGGCAGCTGGAGGCCAGGGAGCACGCCAGGGAGACTGGACACACCAACTTCGGGGAGGTGTGAGCTCGGCGGGAGGAGGGTGCCATCGACTACCTCAGCGCTCCGGAATCCAATTCTGGAGTCCCCAGATAAGCTGTTTGTAATCATAAAATTCCGTTCACAGAGCTTGAAAAGCGAATTAACTTCATGGTGGCCGAGGCGCAGGTTTGGGAATAGGGGATTGGGAATAGGGATGGCACTTGGGCAGGTGGTGGACAGTGGCAGCCACACCTTGATTTCATCACCTTCTCTCTGTGTGTGTGTGTGTGTGATCTGAGCAGACAGACACAGCCAGGCTTGTCCAACACTGGTGTAAAATCCACCTCTGAGGTGCTGAATGTACATTTTCAGGGTAATTCAATTAATCTGAGGCTTTGGGAAACACACATGTCAGCATCACTTACACTGAGAATTAGGCTTTGCACTCACACTGAGAGTTAGGCTGAGCAGCTCTCGGAGGGGAGGCTGCTCGTGTGGTGCGTGATTTGTAATGGAAATATCAAGTACAATAGCAAAATACAAGTTGTAGTGGAAAGAGGATCTCTGAGCTGCCCTGTACCATCAGGAATAGACTGTGTAGTTTGTGTGCAGAGAACTTTAGGGAAAGCAATGGCCTCTAAGCTTTAAGGTAGCCTTTAAATTAATGAGTAGATGAATAAGTGTTGAATAAAACTTATTAATCCTCCGTAGGTAGTTTTTAGTTGCTTGAAAAATAACTCTTAACCCCCCAGTGTTTACACTGCATCAGAGCATAAGCATGTTTCCTGGAATACTTGGGATTCTTCATAATTGCATTGAAAATTCCTGCAAGAGGGAAGTGAGTAGTTAGGGAAGTGACTTAATTTGCATCTGTTAAATACATTGAGTATTTTACTTGAGTAGAGCCAATCACGGCCATGGTGTCACTAAGCTGTTCCAGTTTCCAAATACTGTGAATGAGCACTTTAAGGTTGAGTTCTCACTCTTTGCTGGTAAAAAGTTTTGCCCTCTGGAGGCCAGAGCCAGAAGGGAGGCTTGAAATTCCATCTGCTTTCTGCCTTAATGTGTTTGATTTGCCACCGCTGACTGCGGAGTAGCAAGACTTTCATTGTGATAATGAAAGGTGCAGCTGAATATTCAGATGAAAATAAGCTGGGAAAAGTGCCCCACTCCTTGGACTGTTCCGAATCAGGGAAGGTGAAATTGGTTTAATTGGAATATCTTACCTCACAGTGGGGTTGTGAAGCTTAACAGCGAAGGCTTTCAAAAGGTGCTGTAAAGGTGCATATTACTGAAGGGGATTTATGTTGTTTTTTTTTTTTTTTCTTTGAAATGCCTGCAACATGTCCTTATTTCTTGAATTTTAATATATCCTTTGCCTGCCATTCTTCTGTTATTGTTTTGAGTGACCTTCCTTGCACTTTTAGACTGGGGAACAAGAAGGGGTGTCCTTGGACTGAGGCAGAAATATAAATCCACTTTCCACGTGGAACCTAAAACCCAGTTTGAAAGGGCTCTGTTCCCTCAGGCACTGACCAAACTGGTGCAGCAACACCACCTTTTCTGCAAAAATCATATTTCTAGTTCTCAGCAGAGGCTCCAGTTGGATCTTGAAATACAGGAGGGTTTTATTGAAGAAAGAAGATAATTACTTAAGTGCTTTGCTGAATTAAGGCATGAATAATTAAACAGCCTAGGATCACCCAGAGCACTATGGACTGGGTTTGTTTTTAATTCAGTATTAAAAAAACACATTAGCACTGTTGGGAGTTCCCTACAGAAAGCCACTTAGCTTCCAGTGTTAAACCCCACTCTGCTTTTAGCCTGTCATTAGGAAAAGAAGATAAAAACCCCCCAAAACCCAACATTAAACCCAACCCTGTAGAAGCTGATGCTTAAAAACCTCCAGAAATACCTGACAGTTCAAAGGAACTTGAAGATTACACTGTGTTATAACTACTTGAGCTGAAATACTGGCTAGGAAGGAGACCAAGAGACTGGCAAGCCCCAGGTGTGCTCTCAGCTGTCCCAGGGAAGCAGGGACGTGCCTGGGACAAGGAGCTGATCCTCCCCTTTGCCATCTGCCACATGGACACAATACCTACCTCAGAGAGGTGCACGAGGTGTCTTTGGAACACAAGTGGAAGATCCATATTTATTGTCTGCCTTGACTTTGGGGAGCAACCCTTAGATTTTAGCTTTGTGCCCTGGATGGATTTCTCAAAGTGTGTAATACCTTTTTTTTTTTTTTTTTTTCCCTGCTATTTCTCAGTTGCAGTATTTGAAAAATGACCTTTATTTAATCCAGAGTGTTGAGCTTTGCTAGATCATGTTTGCATTGGGAATCTGCTAACAGAGAATCAGTTCCCTTGGAGGGAGATGTGTCACTATCACTGCTTGGATGTTCTCTTTTGTTGCCTAGAAAATAAAATCTCTTTGATTAAAAAAGATATACCTGTAATTCGTGGTTGTAAAAGTTGGTATTGTTACAGGCTGACAAAGAACAAGTCCTTGACTGCAAGAAAAATTTCTCCTTACTCCTAAACTTACCCAAACAAAACGTATCTCCATTATTTAAAATGTAAAGCCTGGATAGTTTTAAAGTACAACTCTTTTTCTTTTTAAAAATTCTTATTGGAGTGTTTTTTAGTACTTTTAAACTAGGATTTCCTGCCCTTAATGACACAGTGAGGGAATTATCCCAAAAATTGCATCCTTCTAGTGGTAGGATGAACTCTGAATACCAGAATGGGCTGAGATGAGCTTCAAGGTCTTTTCCAAGCCAAACCACTCTGGGATTCTATGAAACATGGTACCTGAGATATCAGGACTCAGCTGTAAAGAGAGTTCTTCATCCCTCCAGAATCTTTTATGCGTTGAAATACACAAATGATTAAGCTGAATTCACAAATAATTTTGTCCAGCATTACACAGATCTGCTCCATGGATGCAATAGACTGAAAGAGCAGGCTGGGGAGAAAATCAGTAATAACTGGAATTTCTGAAGGACAAGCCTAATTCCGAAGTTCTGAGCAAGCTCCTATCCAAAGAGCAGATTCTGGGGAGAGCACTGAGAAAAGGAACATCCTGTTCCATGGCACAGCTCAAATCAGCACCTTTCCCTGAGCACAGTCACAGGGTGCCATGCTGACAGTTTGGGGACAGTGTCCTGTACCCATCCTGCTCTCCTGGAGAATATCCCAGCTCTGGAACTGGGATCTGTTCTGGGGCAGCCACTCAGTGAGGCTGAAACCTCTGTGACCCTGCAGTGTTGGGGCTGTGAGGAGAGAGCAGAAATTCCCTGCTGCTGCCTGGAGCACAGAGAACCTGGAGCTGGGGGAGGTTCTGAGAAATCAGACTGACACACGGGTGCTGAATCATCTGTGTGGGGCTGATTTCACTGCAGAACCCACCCATGGGCCAGCCCTGGGAACCTCTCCCTGCCAAGGAAACTCTCCAGAAGAGGAACTAAAAGTTGTCAGCTTGCTGTTTGGAAAATTGCAGCTGCCATGCAATTAAATGTCTGCCTGCATTTTAAATCAACCTTTACATCCATCTCTAAAGCTGCTGTCGGGTTTGCTCCAAATAAAATTCCTTCAAATTGGGTGAAATCACTCCTGCTTTGGCTGTCTGAGCACCAACTCACCCTGAAACAGGGATACAACAGAGGAGTTAACAAAGTCAGCTTGTCCAAGATCACAGAGCCCTTGTCTATTATTTTTAATTAAACTCTTGAAGAAAATGTTGGGGAACTGTTAAAGCTTGAGAGCTGCTTTCTCACTTCTGGTGTTAATGGTAAGCAAGCTATGGGAACACTTCAGCTCCCTCCTCTAGCTCCTTTCTGTGAAACAGAGATAATAAATAGAGCTCCTTAGCCATAGGAAGTTTTAATGAGTGCTGTGCAACAGGAGGCATTAACTACGTGCTATTTTCCATAACTGAGCTGTCAGCACACAGGCTGTGCCTGCAATTTGGGTGAAGGAAAGTGCCCAAGAGTCCCACAGAGTCAAATAAACGTCCTTACCTCGACAGGAATCTTATCAGTGACGCCGTGTGGATGCTTTTCCTTTAGGGCCAGGCCTGAGTCACTTGTGCCCTCGTGTTTAGGAACAGGGTGAGGCTCTGCAGGGCTGTGAAGCTGCCAAAGTCCTTCCAGGGCACAGGGAAGTCGTCTCTGCATCATTTGACTCCTCACATATCCTTCATGCCATCTATGTGAAATCACACCTTATTTTGGGTTGGAGCTATTTATATTTGTTGGAGGGAGAGGAATGTGGGAAAAGAACAGGTTCTTTCTGGGCTCCTGATTCAGAGGAGCTGGAGATTTCTCCTAATGGATCCTGACACTTTCCTGACCACACGGGGCTGCTGGCAGCCAGCTCTGCCTGTTGGACTGCCCAGACTGGAGTCCTGCTGCTGTCAGGACACCCCTGCCCCGTTCTGCTGCTCACTCACACCCTGCTGGCAGGGCAATAACAAAATTACCCCAGCTTTGCTTTCCTCCCTCTCTCAGAGCAGCCTCAGCACAACTCGACAAAACCCACACAGCTCAAAAGCTTCCACTTCAAATTAAAATGAATGCATTAATTTACAACCAAACCCACTTCATTAATGAATACCACGTTTAAACTCTGTCGATGCCGTGCCACCCAGCACAGCTCCTGAAGCACTGGCACCAATCCTGCCCTCAATCCCTGGCTGTAACAACCCTCCAGCAGCTCTGGCTGCATCCCCATCCCTCACCTGCTGCAGGCCAGCGTGGGACAGCAGAAGGGCTGGGGTTGGCTGGGGCTCTCAGCAGCCTCTGCTTTGATTTGCTCTCCAGCACGTTCCCTTCTGGAACAGCACTTGGCTGGGCTCAGCATTGCCAGTGGGAGCCTCTGGCTCATCTCCTCTCCCTCCATCTTTAATTAGCTGATGTTTCCACTTCCCTGTTCTGTGGAGCAGGGAACATGTGTGGCAACACAGCCTTTTGCTAAAAATACAAATTAAAGAAAAAAAAAAGTTATTGGAGCGTGGAAATATGAATGAATCCGGCAGCTGTGTCAGCCCTGGAAATTTCCTGCAGGGTGTTTGTAAATTTGCAGTGAGCAGCAACTTGTCAAGCAGGTACAAGTCCATGCTGCATGTGGGGAATGGCCAAAGCATTGTTAATCAGCAGGAAAAGCTCCAATTTTTATAACAGAGCCCAAAGCCGGGTAGGAAGGAGGCTCTGCTGTTCTCTGCCTCCCCCTGCAGCTCTGCCCGGACTGGGGGTCGGTGTCACCCTGCACAGGGTGGGGACATCTGGGCCCCTCTTTGGAGGAGGCAGCAGAGGGTACCGGGGCCAGAGCAGGAGATGCTGCTGGAGAAATGCCTCAGCAGAGGTTCTGAGAAGGTGTCGGTGTGAGCATGAGCCTGACGGGCATCTTGCGGGGCTTTAGCTTTCACCAGAGCTGCAGGCACTGACCTCAGGCTGCCTGGGGAAGGAACTCGCAGAGGGTTTTGGTGCCCACAGGGAATGGTGCCAAGTGGGGCAAAAGCAGCTGCAGGTCGGGACAGGCAGAAGGAGCCTCGGATCTGCGCAGACCTGGGCACCCCTTCCTGCACCACCTCCCTAAACACTTTCTGCCCGTCCTTACAACCACCTTCCTTTGCACGGCAGCAAACTTCTGGCCTGTGGGAAGCTGTGGCGAAACGCAAGCAGCAGCCTGTCCCAGCGCAGGCTGTTTTCCGAGCCGAGCTGCGGCATCCCCGCTCGGAGCAGCCGAGGGAAGGAACCCGCGGCGGGCGAGGCTGCGAACGCCCAGCCCGGGACGGATAATTATTGTGCGCAAGGCTGGGCTCGGGCTCAGCCGCTGTCAGCGAGCAGCTATGCGGCAGAACAGGCTGGCGGATTAAGGAATCTCCGGCCAAAGCCGTGCCCAGGACAGCAGGGGACAGCAGGGGACAGCAGGGCACTGAGCGAGCGGGGTGGCACCGAGCGGAGCTGCCCGCAGCTCCCGGGCACTGCCAGCCCAGCCAGAGCTCCGGGGCACGGCACGGACGGGTTTGGGGCATCGGGCACGCCGGGATCCAGGCTGAACAACAGGAACAGGATGAATTCCACTCTCCCTGGCTGCAGGTGAGGGGCTGGATCTGCTGTCCGAGCACCCACCTGGCCAGCGCAGCCTTATCTGCAGCGGGAGCGGAGTTAATGTGTAACCCGGCTGTGTTTGGTTAGCCCAGAAAAGCAAAGAAGTCCTGGGATAGGCACGGCCGGGACAAGGCAGCACGGAACGACGGATAGCCTGGTAAAACTACAAAAACGGATTAATAATAATTTCTGGCCCTGCTTGTCCTTTGCTCTCTGTGCTTTTCCTGCTGGATGGGCTGCGGGTGAGGGGTGGGGGGCTCTGGCTACCTGCAGGGCTCTGCTTTGCAAGGATGAAATGTGGTGGGGGATTCAAAATGTGGTGGGGACGAGGTCGTGGTGGTGGGAGGAAAGTTGGGGAAACTGGGGTGCTTAATTTACCTGTTGAGATAGGAGGAAATTCAGGTTTGCCCCTGAGCTGGGATCCATCCCCCTGGGCTGCTCAGAGCTGGGACGGTGCCTGCAGAGGGGGGTTTGCTTTGGGTTCTGTTTGGGGCTGGTCAGGACAAAGCCTTTCCCAGGCTGGAGGGGTCTGGCTGCTCTGCCCCCCAGACAGCAAAACCGAGGTGTTCTAACCGGGGATGAAGAGCTTAGAGTGGTGCTGGCTGAAAGAAAGTAGCCTCTTCTCTAAAGCAATTAGCATTAATTGCTACCCGGCACCTCTTTGATGGCTTTTAAAGGACAGTTATGGCAACGGCCACAAGAGCTGAGGGACCTGGCCTTTGGATTTGGGTAAAAAATATCTTCTTCCAGATATGTTTTTAGTTGGGGAAGAGAGCTGCACCACTGAATCCCAGCTATAAAACAGCTTTTGGAGTACCATGTCTCTTAAATCAAATGCTCAGTTGCGTTTTTAGTTTTTGGCTGTTACTCACCGCAAAGAAGGAACTAAAATCCTTCTGAGTCATAAAAACTGGGGGTTTCAACACTGATTTTTCTCCTTTCCCGAGCTGGATGAGTGTGCTGGAGCTGTAATCACATCGAAGAACTAATGGGCAGGAAAAGGAACTTCTTGTTTCGGTGCAGATCCTCTGTAGTGCCCGTGGGCTCGGGCTGGACTTTGCCTTCCGTGAGCTGGGGCTCGATGGGTGCCAAAGCCTTGGCAGCTGCTTGAGGTCCCTGTGAATGCTGTTTCAATGATAGAAAGTGATTTCTTTAGTGGACTGGTGCTGGGGGGGATCCTCATAGAGAAAATGCCTCCCTGCTGGCCCCAACCAGCTGCACACTGAAATTCCAGCAAAGCTTTCACTTCCCCAGGAGGGTTTTGCTGTCTGAAATGTGGGAGGGAGGCAGCCAGGAGCAGCACAACAACCATGGCCAAGCCTCCTGTTACTGAGGAGTCAATGTAAATCTAGAAATCTATGTCCTAGTTTTGATATAAATCTAAATTTTACGTTGTGGATGCTCCAGTGCACAGCAAAACCCTGCAGAGGCCTGAAGTCCCCCAAGCTCAGCTCTGCTCCTGACAGCTCAAATCCCTGGCTGTGAAGAGATCTGAATTCAAAGAATCCAGGGAACTGCTGTTCCAAAGCCACCACTTACTTCAACGTCACTTAAGTAGTAAATAATGCAAAGCTGAAACTGAAATATTAAACTCCTCCTGCATGGAGGGATTAGACCTGTCAGGGCGTGGGTGTTGCAATCTGATTTTTGCGGCGTATTCCAATTACAAAGGAATTCTTTCAGGGTCTAACGCTCTGAACAAGCAGCCAGTTCTGCTCACTTATCGCTGGATCTAATTCCCTGATCCTGCTACAAGGAAAAAAAAGCAGCAGTGTGCTCCTGCCTGCAGGTTACAGCACAAAGGGCTCCTCTGTCTCCCGAGGAGCAAATCCTCTCGCGTGGCTCCGTGTTCTTGCAGGGGGTGTTGGTGTTTGTTGTGCTGCTCCCTCTCGCCCCCACAGCCCAGTTCCCTTCCCAAGAACAGGGTGGTGCACGTGGAGGAGACTTCATTGGTGGTGCCAGGAATTTTGGAAGCTCGCTGCTTTGCGTCCATCCGTAATGCCACCTTCTGTGGGCGCTCAGCAGAGCTCTGGGCAGGGATAACTGTCCCCTCTGCCACCTGGCACCCTGCCTCAGTGTGGGAAACCCACATCCAGGCTGTTTGTCGGGCAGCTGCTGCCACACTGGGGTCCCACTGGTGATGGGAGGCCTGGGCTCCATCAGGGGGACACTGCTGTGAGCAGAGGGGACATTGGGGTGCTGCTTGAACCCCCCTGGGCACAGCCCCAGCCTGCCCTGCTCCCCACAGGCTGTGCCCAAACACACCCAGGCGTGCCCCAAAGGCCTGGGGGCACCTCCCTGGGGGCACCTCCTTGGGGACACCTCCCCGGGAAGGGCGGCACAGGCAGCTCCTTGCCAGGAGGAAGCTCCTGACAGAGCAAGGATGTGAGTAACCAGCAGCATTTTGGGCCAGCACGTTCACAAGTTCAAGCTGCAGGGCTGGCACGGGGTGTGGCAGAGGAAAGAGGTGCCATGAGTCGGGGCTGGGGTTTCTGAGCCGGGCTTACAGCTTTCCTTGTGCTTATCCACCCCTCTGAGGTGAGCAGGGAGCCACCAACACCAGCTGGCTGTGCAGAGATTACCCCATTATTGTAAATGCAGGCGAACCCAATGGGCAGAAATGACGATGTCTGACTCAATTCAGAAGGCTGAATTATTTCTTTATTATAACTATGCTAAAATACGTTAATATACTACATAAAAGGAGGATACTAAAACTACATACTGCTTTCTCTGGCTCTATCTCTAACACAACTCGTGACCCTCTCTGGAGAGTCCAGCCCCAGGAGGGTTGGGTTGGGTTGGGTTGGGTTGGGTTGGATTGGATTGGATTGGATTGGATTGGATTGGATTGGATTGGATTGGGTTGGGTTGGATTGGATTGGATTGGATTGGATTGGATTGGATTGGATTGGATTGGATTGGATTGGATTGGATTGGATTGGATTGGATTGGATTGGATTGGATTGGGTTGGATTGACCATCAGGCTCAAACAATCCTTACCAGAATCCAACCAAGCACTCACCCCAGGTAAACAATTCTCCAAACACATTCCACATAGGAAAAACAAGGAGCAGAAATAGAAATTGTCTTCTCTTTCATTTCTCTCTGTGCACCTCTATAAAAAATCCTGAGAGGGAGAGAAATGTGCTTGCCACACCCCATTCCCAATTATTTTGAGGAAAACTTCAAGAATTATTTTTAAAAGCCCAGCTGTGCCTTCTCCTGGAGACAGCAGCTGAATGTGGAGCACAGTTCCTCCATCCAGCAGCTTCAGAGCCTGCCTCTCCTCCCTCCCAGTGTGCTTGAGTCACCCCAGGGGGAACCCCACAACTTAATGCTTCTCCTTTCTCCTGCTCCAGCCGGGATATTCCTGCTGTGCCCACCTCCAGGGCAGCCCGTGCTATGCCTAGGAAGGAGCTGGGGATGGCTGGCTGCAACTCTGGCAGCTGTGACAGCATGGTCAGCACGGCCTCCAACCACTCGCAGCGGGTGAGTAACCCCGGGGTGCCCAGCCCAGCTCGCCCCTCTGAGCTGGAGAAGGATTTTGGGCAGATGTCAGCCCAAATCTGCTCTCTGACCGTGCTTTGGAGGCAGCTGGAGGTCCTGAGACAGCAGCAGGAGCAGGTGAATTCCTGAATTCCTGCCCCAGAGTACTCCCAGCCTTCCCATCCTGCCACGTGTGTGGGGAGCTCTTGGGGCTGCAGGGGCTGCTCTGGGCCAGGACAGATCCCTGGAGAGGGGATCCCTGGAGAGGGGATCCCTGGAGAGGGAATCCTGTCCCTGGAAAGGGGATCCATGGAGAGGAGATCTGTGGATATTCTCAGTTCAGTCAGAGAGAAAAAGAGAAAGATTTCTGCCAGGCTAAGCCTGGGAAAAAGTTCGAGAGGAGTGTAAACACTAATTTATTATCTTGCTTTCCATTCATATTGTTTATAGATATGTTTTACCACACTGACCTAAGTCCAGTGTACCGATCAGGTGAAATGTTTTTATTATAACACCAAGGAATTAATGTTCATGATGGTCCCTATAAAAGAGAGAGGGACTTTTGAATAAACATTCATTTGCCTCTGAAATGCCTGTCTCTGGCTCAACAGCGTCAGGGATCCTGTCCTTGGAGAGGAGATGATCTCCCTGGAGAGGAGAGCCATGGAGAGGGGATTCTGTCCCTGGAGAGGGGATTCTGTCCCTGGAGAGGGGATCCCTGGAGAGGGGATTCTGTCCCTGGAGAGGGGATCTTCTCCCTGGAGAGGGGATCCATGGAGAGGGGATCTTCTCCCTGGTAAGAGAGGATCCCTGGAGAGAGGACCCTCCCCTTGGAGAGGCTCCTGTGCTGCCGGGGGTGCAGGGATCAGACCAGTTGGGTGACTGGGTCACACTGGCTCCAAGCAGAGTGACAACACCTGGAGGAGACAGCGAGCTGAGCTCCTCCTGCCTGGCACCAGATGAATTCCCCAGTTAAGGCAGGGATGAGTTTGGACCATGGGTGTAGATGTGTAATTTTTCACTATCTGTCCATTAACGTTGTTTGTCTCCCGACACCGATCCCAAGATTGATGGGCTAATTACATCCTGCCTGACTCGGAGCATAATTGATACGTGTGAGAGCAGCTCAGTCCTGGCAGCTTTTCCATTTGATGTCTTGCAAACCAGAGCCAAACCCTCGGAGTTTAATGGGGATGGAAGAACTGGTTGTGATACTGCACAGTAAAAGATTTGGATAAGGTGTCTCTGCAAAACAACTCCACCTGGGATAATTCCTGCCCCGTGCTTGTTGATCTGATGCACATTCCATCCTGTCCTGAGCTTCATTTTGTTCATGACAGATTGCAGGAATCACCTTGGTATCTGATATTGCAAGAACACCCCTCCTGCTGCTCAAAATACAACAAAAATTAAACAACTCTCGTTCAGGAATCAATGGGAGAACAAGGAGAGTTCATCACCTGCACAGAAACCTCAGTGTTTGTGGAGTTTTCTAAGATTCAGCATTGCTGAGCACTACAGATGTCTGTACCTACAGATTTGTTACCCGGCTGTTCACATTTCAATTTAAAGAACTGAAAGTTAGAGGCCAAGGTCCCAAGCTCAGAATAATCCACCTGCTGACCCACAGAGTAGGGTAATAGAAAAAAGGCTTTAAGTATATATATATATATTTCTTATTTTTAGAGGAGCTGGTCTAGTTTTGTGGAGCTGTAAATGCTCATTATTGAACAGCCACTGGCCAAGCAGCTGTCACAGGCTCTCTAAACTACCTGGACATTAAATATAAATATATAAAATATTAAAATATTCATTTATATATATATAAAGTTATATATATAAAGTCATAGATATGTGTAGTATAATGTAAACCTCTCATATATATAGTGTAAAGTAAACCTCTCTTTCTTATATATGTACTTATAGACATATATTTATTATAAATATATACATATATATTCATACATATTTATATATGCTATATATATATATACTACATATATATTTATAGATGTATATATTATATATATGCAGTATAAGGTAAACCTCTCATATATATGTATATATTTTTATATAATTAATAAATACATATACATTTATATATAGGATAAACTTCATCTATATTTTTATATATGCTACATCTTTTTTTCATATATTTTAAATATATATTTTATATAAAAATATATTCATATATTTATCTATGTATAATATCTAATATATACATATCTAATATATATAAATAAATATATATGCATATTTATATATTATATATATTGCATATATATTTATATATATTATATTTTTATATCTATATAAAATATATTTACATATAAAAATATATATGTAGTATGGATCTTCTTTTATCCTTATCTTCTTTTTTCCAGAGTGACAACAGCTATGACTATTTATCTGTGGAAGAGAAAGAGTGTTTGATGTTCCTGGAGGAAACCATTGGCTCCCTGGATGCAGAGGGGGACAGTGGGGTGTCCACGGATGACACCGACTACGGGGAGCCCTCCAAGCCCAGGAAAGGCCCTGTGCCCCGGGGTGAGCTGGAAACCCTTCTGCAGAGAAGATTTTACCATAAAATATAAAGATCTATTTATTTCTTTCCCAAAATAGCTCCATACAGGCCATGTTCTCAAGTACAGATATGCACAATACACGTCCTATCTTGGCATGAATATTTTACAGAATTTTCTGATACCGCGACTCAATGGCCTCAAAATTCCACAATATCTGAATACCTTGCAGGGCTTGTGCTTAGTGTCAGTAACCACACGGATTATTGAGGTTTTGTCAGGCCCAAAGGATCCCATTCCCAGCAGGGATGGATCAGAGGAGCTGGGGGAGTTCTGTGCTGGCCCAGAAGGGGGGAGCACCTCGAGTGCTGTGTCCAGCTCTGGCCCCTCAGTTTGGGAAGGACGTTGAGATGCTTGAGCACGTCCAGAGGAGGAAACGAGGCTGGTGAGGGGCACACAAAGCCTGTGAGGAACGTTTGGAGGAACTGGGGTTGTTTAGGCTGGAGAAGAGGAGGTTTAGAGGTGACCTTATTGCTCTCTACAGCTCCTGAAGGGAGGCTGCAGACAGGTGGGGTCGGTCTCTTCCACCGGGCAGCACTGACAGAACAGGAGGACACAGCCTCAGCTACGTCAGGGGAGGTACAGATTGGATATTAGGAAAAAAATGTTCACCAAAAGAATCATAAAGTACTGGAATTGTCTTCCCAGGGAGGTGGTGGAATCACCATCTCTGGATGTGTTTAAAAAAAAATAGATGTGGCACTTGGTGCTATGGTCTAGTTGTGGTGTTAGGGCATAAGGTTGGACTTGATGATCTTAGAGGCCTCTTCCAACCTCGTTTTTCTGGGATTCTGTGATTCTGAGGGGTGTCCTGTGGCCAGAGCATGACTTCAACTCCCTCTCTTCCCAGATTTGGGGAACGGGACTCCCCCTCCAAGCAGAGATCAGCAGCGTGGGGCTGAACAGAGGAGTGGTAGAAGCATCTCTGCCCTGTCCAGCTCGGCCCCAGCGGCTGCTCCAGGCCCAGGTTGTTCCAGACTTCCAAGGAACATCCCTGCAGCAAATGGAGCTTCTGGCAGCAAAGGAGGTGTCCACACCGTGCCAGCAGGAAAACCTGCCCAGGAGGTGGCCAAGGAGGGCAGGCTGGACCAAGCCAGCGCAGGAAGCCACACCAAATCCGTGATTATCCAACCTCCAGACCCCTTCCAGGATGACCTGGAGTGGTCGCGCAGCTCAGATGCCAAGAGGGAGGCGGCCAAGGAGACCAAGATTTGGACTGCGTGGGGCCACCCGGAGAAATCCACACTGGAAGAGGCCCCTCAGGAGCCCGATGCCAAGCGTGGGCCTCCAACCGCCCCCAAACCACGGAAATTGCCCCCAAACATCATCCTGAAAACCAGCAGGAACAGCCCCGTGCCGGAGCACAACCAGAAGGTAAAAGCAGTGCCTCCAGCCTCAGCCACATCCCACCCCAGCCCTGCCAGCGACAGCACTGCTGAAAAGGGGAATTCGGGCCACCTTGACCCCAAGGAGAAGGAGAAAGCCCGACGGGAGGCCCTGGAGAAGCTGGGACTGCCCCAGGACAGGAGGGAGCCCGGCGCCCACCTCCAACCCCACGCCAAGGAGCCGCCGCTCCCCGGCCCTGGGCAGCCTGGGGAGGGCTCCGTGCCGGGGATCCGGCAGATGACCTTCAAATCCAACACCCTGGAGCGCTCCGGGGTGGGGCTGGGCAGCTCCATGGGCAGCGCCAAGGAACAGAACGCCCGGAGCAGCAGCAGCTCCCTGGGCAAGATGTCCTTCATCGAGCGCCTGGCCCCCAGCTTCCTCCGCAGCCGCCCCCGGCCCGCCTCCCTCGGGGCAGGGAAGGACTTTGGTGGCCTGAAGGAGCAGGAGGAGAAGGACAAGAGCAGCAAGAGGAGGTCCCACCCTCTGCCCAGCTTCCCCAGGCCGCCGCGCTCCGCTGTGAGCGTGAAGATCTCCCCAAAGGGCGCGGCCGACGAGAACCGGCGCGAGGCGCTCAAGAAGTTGGGGCTGCTGAAGGAATAGCTGGTGGGGCTGGTGGAAAAGGGGATTTTCACCCCAAGCCCAGCGGCCTGCAGTGCCTGGGGCCTTGGGCACCAGCATCTGCTGCCAGCTCCTGCCCTGGCAGCTCGGGAGAGGTGCTGGGAGCTTCTCAGCAGACGGAGGAACGCCGCGTGTACAGAATATTTTGTATGTAGCAGATGTACATGAGCTATTTATACAAAGCATCTCTCAGCACGGACGGGGTGTGCTCTCCTGCAAGGGCTTTAATGCATTTGGGGATTCATCAAAACAGGGAAGCCATGGAATTAGGGTTTGGCTTGTTTTCAAAGGGGTTGCCTGTGGATAAAGTGTCTCTGGGAAGAACTGCTGGACTTTGCTGCTCCTTTAGGACTTTTTTGGTGTTTTTTTTTTTTGGTTTTTTTTTTTTTTTTGGTTAATTTTATCACAGCCTCTGAGGTCTGAACACTCATCTGCCACGTGGAAGTGCCTCACAAAGCCACCACTGCCTGCTGGGTGGGCTGGAGAGCTGCAGAGACATCCCAGTGCCTCCCCTGCCACACTCTGCTCTCCACCCAGCCCTGACCTGGAAGAGCACCTGGAAGAGGTTTGAACTGCAGGAATTGACAGCTGAGGAGGCCAGAGGCTGTGCTGGTGTCAGATCCAGAAGTGCTGCCCAAAATGGGGCAGATGCAAGGCTGGGACAGCTCCCACTCATCCTGGCACCTCTCAGGCCCAGCTGATGCTGCCAGCACCTTGCTGCTCACCTTGGGGAACAGAGGTGGTTGATGTCCCTAATAAACCTGTGTGTGATCAGAAAGTGCCGTGTGGTACAGATTTATGTGGCAGACGGGTAAATAATAAATACCCCTAAATAGGGGGGTTTAAAACAAAGAGTTCTGAGAGAAAGGATGAGCCAGGACAGGTCTGTCCCGCATAGAAAATGGAATATTTGATCAGCACAGGCAAAGTCTCCCATGAAGCAACCTGGGATGGTGGAAGGTGGCCCTGCCTGTGACAAGGGGAGGAAAAAGGAGAGCTTTAAGGTCACTTCCAACCCAAAGTGTTCCGTGGTTCTGTAATTCCCAAATCTCCCTGCAAGCACAAAGGGGGAATATGGAATTCCTGGTGCTCCCGTGTTTGCTGGGCAGCCAGACAGCAGCAGAGGTTCCACCCAGCCCCACTGCTCGGCCTGGGGACTTCCACCTGCAAATGTTTGACTTTAAAGGCAGCAAGAGCACCGTGAGGAGAGGAGGGGGAGTGCTGAAGCCCACCCTGGGTCAGGGGTGGCTCCGTGTGGTGGAAAAGTCTCTCCTCCAACCCGAGCTGCCAAAGAAAGGCTCAGCAGTCTCTGCTGTCCGGTCTCAAGGCAGTTTATTGCAAGTTATCTAAAAGATTTTCTTCTGGGGCTGCTGTGGTTTGCTCACAGCTCAGGCAGAGGCACACACACACCCTGACATCCTCTCTGACTCCCGACTGCTTCTTCTCTCCCCCTCTGCCCAGGGCTGTGCTGTCTTTTATATGGTACATTACGTGTTACATGGGTACAGTTTTCCCCAATGCCTATTACCTATATTAGATGGTGCTTTTCTATCTTTTATATGGTACATTCCGTGTTACATGGGTACAGTTTTTCCCCAATGCCCATTACCTATATTAAATGGTGCTTTTCTACTCTAAACCAACCTGTGAGTGCCAACATCACCAAGAACATGGAGGGAAGGAAGGAGAAAGAGGGAGGACAGGGCAGGCCCAAATCCCTCCATCTTAAAACCTCTGACCCCCGTGTACAAAACCAAAACCCCCCTGTACAGCACTCAAAAATTCTTCCCTCTACTTTGCGACTACTTCTACTCTAATATCTAAACTTTTGTGACTTCTTGTTCTTCCTGCAAGGTTGGTAAATCATTCCATGGCTCAAACCCACAATCACAGCTGTTTCCAGCTGCCTGCCAGGGTCTCAAATGCTTCTGACCAGGGCCTGGAACATCCAATAATGTCTGAGGGACATTTTGAGTTCTGACAGGGGAGATAAAAGGGTCAGCCAAGCTCCTGCCTGGGTTAAAGCTGTGTGCTCATCCTTGTGCTCCTCTCCTCTGACCACTCTGTCCCAGCCAGGGCTGATCCCAGCTGTTCACTGCTCTGACTGCTCAGCATTGCATGGTGCAAGTCCCAAGGGAAATCTCACCTTGTTCATCTCCTGAGAAAGGAGGAGAGCATTAAGGACTCTCTCAAAGCATTTCTGCCCTGAAACAGAACCTAGACATTTCTTAAAACCAGATTGTTTTAGAAACAAAAGGCTTCTCTTCCAATCCTTGGCTTTAGTCCGAACCATTGTGTGCTGGTGTCATGAAAGCTGAGTTTTGTTCAGATTTCCAAGGAGAAATCTCACTCCCAAAGATTCTTATCAATCTGTGACGTGGTGATGCTCACAAACAGGAGCTGGTATGAAATGGGAACAAAAGAGAACAAATTAAAACAACAGCCAGAGAGCAGCAGGGTCATTCCTCTGGGAATGAACCCCACATTTCTGCGCCTTTCCTGGAGCTGCCAGATGCTCTGGGCTGGCAGAGCATCACTCACCATGGGCAGGCACTGCTGTTTCATCCTGCCAGGGGAATATGGAATTTTACCTGCTGGCTCTGTTTGTAGCCCTTAGAAACAGAGCCGTTTATGCCCCAGGGCTGGGACTGTATGCAAGAGCAGGCCCATGACTGTGCCTGGTGCCACCCAGAGCTGAGCCCTGCTGCTGGCAGAGAGATCCTGTTCCTGCTGCTGCCCCTGGCAGAGAGATCTGCTCCTGGCAGAGAGATCCTGATCCTGAGAGAGATCCTGCTGCTGCTCCTGGCAGAGAAATTCTGTTTCTGCTGCTGCTCCTGGCAGAGAGATCTGCTCCTGCTGCTGGTAGAGAGATCCTGATCCCGAGAGAGATCCTGCTCCTGCTGCTGCTCCTGGCAGAGAGATCTGCTCCTGCTACTGGCAGAGAGATCCTGATCCTACTCCTGCTCTTACTCCTTGCTCCTGCTCCTACTCCTCCTCCTACTCCTCCTCCTACTCCTGAGAGAGGGATCTGCTCCTGCTGCTGCTCCTGGCAGAGGGATTTTACTCGTGCCCTGCTCCTACTCCTGCTCCTGCTCCTGCCCTACTCCTGCTCCTACTCCTGCCCTGCTCCTGCCCTGCTCCTGCCCTGCTGCTGCTCCTACTCCTGCTCCTACTCCTACTCCTGCCCTGCCCTACTCCTACTCCTGCTCCTGCTCCTACTCCTGCCCTACTCCTGCTCCTGCCCTACTCATCCATATCCCTGCTCCTGCAGGGAGCGAGGCCACCTCAGCCCCAGCTGGAGCACCTGCAGGCGCCTCTCTGCTGCCCCTCTGCTCCTGCTGCTGCTGCAGGGTTCTCTGCTCCTGCTGCTGCAGCAGGGTTCTCTGCTGCTGCTGCTGCTGCAGAGTTCTCTGCTCCTGCTGCTGCTGCTGCAGGGTTCTCTGCTCCTGCTGCTGCAGCAGGGTTCTCTGCTGCTGCTGCTGCTGCTGCAGGGTTCTCTGCTGCTCCTGCTGCTGCTGCTGCAGGGTTCTCTGCTGCTGCTGCTGCTGCAGGGTTCTCTGCTCCTGCTGCACAGCTTTGCATCAGGCTGCCCAGCCCCGGCACCATTCCAGGAATTGCTCAAAAAGCAGCATTTCCCTGCTTCTTTCCCTGTCACATTCCTTGGATTCCTCCTGAGGCTCAGCACCCTGTGCACACCTTTCCTGTGGTGCAGCTCTTGGGGAGGGTGCCCTGCCCTTCTCTCCATGCCTGTTTGGTATTCACAGACTGTCCTGGAAAGGTGCTGCTGCTGCAAGGTCAGGGATGGGAAGGATTGATGCAGCTTAGTGCTGCAAGCAGTTAATTAACATCAGTAAATTGTTCAGTGCAATTGCCTCCATGGGTCAGCCCCTCTCTCTAAAGAAAGGCTGCATTCGTTTGGAAATTAAATTGCCTGTAAGGAACAAAGAATCTTGCTTTGTCCTCATCATGGGAATGGTTTGGGTTGGAAGGGACCTTAAAGCTCCTCCAGTTTCATCCCCCTTTCACTATCCCAGCTTGCTCCAAGGCTGGGTGGGAGCAGCACAAACAAAATCCATGCCCAGGTTCAGGCAGAGCCCAGCAGAACTCCTGAGTTCTTGTCTGGGCACCCCGAAATCAAAATCAGCCTTCATACCCTGGCAGGGGCTGGAATGAGAGGAGCTTTAATGTCCCTTCCAACCCAAACCATTCTGTGATGCTGTGAACCTAATTCTGGGCATATTTAACTTGATTTGTGCCTGGAAGGCAAAATCCCAGCAGAGCCCAGACACAGAACAGCCACGAAGAGAGATCACAGCCTTGCAGAAGCAACAAGTCCCAGAAGGGTTGGTAAATGTACCCTCAGTGTCTTCATGCTGATTATCCAGACTTTGTGTTAACAATGTTAAAAACAACAAAGAAAACCCCCAACTTTGCATTTTGCACAGAATATTCATCTAATTCCTAACCATCAGTCCCACCCTGGCTCAGGCCTGTCATTTCCATGTCTACATGAGCCTGTCAAGACCTCCTGTCTCGATTAAAAACATCCTTGTGCACATCTTTCATTACAAACATCAAATTCAGGAGCAGTGGCTGCTGGCATTCTGGCAGTGTCAGGGAGCTGCAGCTGCACCAGGCCACAGCAGAAAAGAGAAATAATTTGTGTTAATAACACCTCTTGTGCCTCTGGGGTGGCATCAGGGGAGCCTTGGGGCTGAGAGTGGGGAAGGAGGATTGGATGCTGCTGAACCAAGCTGGGAAACCCCAAACCTGGGCTCCAGGATGGAGCTGGGCTCATTCCAGGTCATTCCAGGATGGAGCTGGGCTCACTGCAGCTCTGTGGGAGATCCTGAAGATGCCTGAGGTTTTTTAACCCCGTTCCAGCAGGGTTTGGAGCTGAGGCTCTGCCCTTTCCCTGCTCACAAGGAGACAAGGACCCTCTCCAAGCCCACCATGCTTCTCTCCATTATAAGTTTTTCCTTTTTATGCCCCTGTTCTTTGTTTCTAATGGAATTGTAAATGAAAAAAGGCCCAAGCTTGTTGCTGCAGCTCCCACCCGTGCTCTGCTTGGCCCCAGAGAACCAACAACCTGCAAAGAGGAGCCCCAGCAGGGCCTTGCAGCCTTTTGCTGCTGAGTTAAGGCCACCAGGCTTCATTGCTTTGGGTTTTGCTTTCCTCCATTTGCCAGCGATGCCAATTTACCTGATAATACCTTAAACCAGAGCTAGACCCGGGGCTCCTGCTCTTAAATTCCAGTGGGTTTGGGATCCCCCTGCAGGGCAGGGTGAGGGTCTCCACCTCCCTGATATCTCAGCTCCTTTTTTCCAAACACCCTTGGATTTGGAAGTCCAGGAAGAGACAGACAGGGGTGTCAGGATCTGAGGTATTGATGATTCTGAGATTGTAGAAAGTCTCTGTCTGTCAGCCCCGCTGCCAAAGCAGAAGCCATAATTGGTCTGTGCTGGTTTCAAGGTTGTTTATTCTGTTTATCTCTAACATGTTCTGCTGCCCTGCCGCAGCTCTGTCCTGCAGGGCAGCGTGTGGGGCTCTGCCCTCAGTGGGATGGTACAAACATTAAATACCACAAACTACCTGTGCTGGATTTACAATAACGTGCCAATATCTGTCACCTACGTTGAACAGTGTGTCCCCAGCCTGAACCAACAGAAAAATGCCAACACCACAGTGAAACATGGAGGGCATGAAGAAGGAGAAAAAGGACAAGACACACCCAATTTCCTCCATCTTGTCCCCCCTGAACCCCTAATCTATAATCCT